AGGCCTTGCTTCAGGATGCGTCTTCGGAGAACCTGTCTGCTGCCTTTCGTGACGGAGACATCACTCTTCGAGATATTGTGTCCACGTGTTTGTCGTCCGATGTCCCTCGTTCCATTCCCCCCTTCGACCTAGATATGTCGCAGGAGGAAATTTCACGCTTGCCCCCCGATGACTACGACGCATTGCTCCAACTCAGCGAACACTGGCACGGGCATTTGACGGAGGATCTTGACACGGAGGCGGAGGCGGTGGCAGAGAAAGCGGCTGCAGAGGAAGCAGCGGCAACAGCGGCGGCGAGAGCGGAGGCGGAGCGAGTGGCTGTGGAGCAAGCGGCGGTGAAGCAAGCGGCGGCGAAGCAAGCGGCAGCGAAGCAAGCAGCGGCGGAGGAAGCGGATGCAACAGCAACGGCGGCAGCGGTGGAGGAGAAAGCGGCTGCGGAACAAGCGCAGTTTGAAGAACGTCTTCGCCAGGTGCAAGCTATCATGGCTAGAACTAACAGGCTACGAGCGGGCGTTCTTCCGGAGGAGCCTGGTACACCACCTCTGTTTCCCTCCCCCGTTTCGCCCTCTCCGAGTGCTGTCTCGCCGCGCCCGCCCCTCTCGTCGCCCCACCCTCGTCCCGTTGGGCATCCTCGTGTGCCGCGCGCTCAAGCATCTGTTGATTCTAGCAGGGGCACAGGTGCGACGGAGTCAGGGCGGGCCGTAGACGCCCCGCAGTTTTCGGTCACTCTCGGTGGAACCTCCAGGCCGGACCCCGACGGTGTGCGCGAAGAGGACGTGTTTGCGCCATACGACAGGCAGTCGGCGGATATCGCGTTCCTTCGTCGCAGCGTCGGGATGCCCTCTCGCGATGTCACGTTCCACGACCAAGACCAACCCGACGCGGACACTGCCTGGGGGGCCTGTCGCCAATTCGTCCTGGATGCCGTTCGCCCCACACCCATCTCGCAGGTTACCTTCGGCACCCTCTTCAACAAAGGATTCATCAAGAAACTCACGCCCTTCCAGCAGCAGAACGTTTTCAGGCTTGCACATGCTCTACGACGGGCTACATTCCGCGATGGACCTCAAGGATCTTCCCTGGTCACACCGGGTGGTGGTTTACAGCCGCCTGTCAACCGCGCGGCCTCAACCACAAACCAGAGTGATTTCACCTGCCCGAACTACGGCAATACGCCCCAGCGGGATTCTTCTCACTTGAGCAGTGGCTTGGGCGAGGGGCGCAACCACTCGGAGTTTGCGGCACCGGCGTCTTCTACGTCGGATGAGGATTCCACGCGTCATAAATCGGCCTCCGGTCGTGGTTCCGGAGATGGTGTCAAGGGTAGAAAGCCTCGCGGCGAGCGTTGGGGGGATCTACCTCCTACGGACAATACCGAGTCTACGGCAGCGCCCTCGAGGAAGCCCCGCAGCGAGCGTTGGGGGGATCTACCTCCTACGGACAATACCCAGTCTACGGCGCCTTCGAGAAAGCCCGGCACCGAACGTCGGGGGGATCTACCTGCGACGGATAATACCCAGTCTACGGCTGCGCCTTCGAGGAAACCCAACAGCGAGCGTTGGGGGGATCAAACTGCGACGGACAACACCCGGTCTACGGCTGCGCCTTCGACGAAACCCGACAGCGAGCGTTGGGGGGATCAACTTGCGACGGACAGTACCCGGACTACGGCTGCGCCTTCGAGGAAGCCCAACAGCAAGCGTTGGGGGGATCAAGTTCCTACGGACAATACCCGGTCTACGGCTGCGCCTTCGAGGAAGCCCGGCAGCGAGCGTTGGGGGGATCAGCCTCCGACGGATAGTACCCGGTCTACGGCTGCGCGTCATCGCGGCGGTAGGAACAGCGAGAACGAGGATCGTCGCCAGTCCAACAGGTCTCCACCCGTACGTCGCCGCGGCAGGAGCAGAAGCCGGAGCGCCGGTAGGAGCCGGACCCACAGGTCTCCGCCAGGGCGTCGTCGCAGCTGGAGCAGGAGCCGGAGCGAGGATCGGAGCAGGGCTAACAGGTCTACGTCTGGACGTCGCCGCAACCGGAGCAGGAGCCGGAGCAAGGATCGGAGCAGGACTAACAGGTCTACGTCTAGATGCCACCGCAGCCGGAGCAGGAACCGGACCGAGGACCGCAGCATGGCCACTTGCCGTGGCAGTGGAAGGTGGTACCGGTCGGAAGAGGAAGCACAGCAACGGTGACAGGCGAGTAGATTTTATAGCCATATGTATTTGAGTGAAGAAAAGGGCGGATCAGATGAAGGGTTCCACGATTCTCCACCGCCTATTTCCCGCCAGCCTGTTGCTGTAGGAGAACCATCTGTGCGTTCCTTGGCTCGAAGGCTTGCCAACATGCAACTGCGAGAACACTCAGCCTCTGTGAAAAGTCATGCCCCTACAAACGTCGCCGATGGGCATCACACACCTATCTTGACTCCGGATGAACGTCTTGAGTCACCGCGCCAAGCTGCATCGCACACTTCGCCTTGGGCCTCACGTACTGAAATGCTGTTGGAGGGAGTTCTGACTCTCTTTTGGACACAGACACCTCGCCATGTTGTGGATGCTACTGCCGATACGGATGCACAACCGACCGCACCCCAGAATCCCTCCCCTAGCGTGCAGCGCCCCGTTTGTTTTCGGAACGGCCGGATCCTGCATTGCCACGCGACAAAGCCTCGAGTGCTTCTGGAGCTTCTGCCTCTCGTGTGGTGTCTATACAGGGGCGGCAGCGGTGTCGTAGGCGCCAGCCTTATCGCATCGGTAGGATCAGCAGCGGTGACGCCAGCGCCAGCGGTCCAGACTTTGGTCGTGCAGCCTGCTTCGAGGGCGTCGTCGTCTCCGTTTCCGGTAGCGTCGGCCAGTGCTTTTCCATCAGAACAACACCCGGGTGGAACCTCACCATCTCTTAGCCTTCTTTGCAACAACCTTCGTTAGCACCCTTCAGCGCACGTCCTTTGCGACAGACACAAGTTCAACGGCAGGAAACCCCGTCACATCGCCGAGCAAGGGTCTTCCACGGGCGCCAGAGCGAGGAAGGACGCCCTGGATGCTGCGGACGCCGCTGTTGCAGAGGCAGACATAATCCATATTCAAGACAAGATGGACAAGCTGAAGCCGGAACAACTTGATGGTGTTAACCGTTTGCCCCTTGGTCCCGATCCTGACGAATTTGCTCGTTTCGCGTCTAGCTGCCAGCTCGTCGTCGCAGAAATCCTCACCAAAACCGATGTCAAGCGTCAACATAACTTCCATTCTACCACCTTGGTCAACGGATGGCTTCCGTTGTTGCGCAAACGTGTCGGTGCTACTGTCGTTGAAGGTCAACCAACCAACCGTACCTCCATGGAATTTCTTAATGCCATCTTCCAGCAGGTAGAAGCTCATCTGCACAAGGACCCAGAGGGACCCTCGACGTAAACATATTTCATCCAGAAACTGGGGGCGCATGGGACTCCCAAGACAAGAGCTCGGGGATTGATCGTCTTCGTAGTTTTTGAGTGCCTAACGGGGAAACCTTCGGAGAGTACATTCGTCAGTGGAAGGCTTGACTGAAACTGTCATGGTCTCATCACCCGTTCAAGTCTTTGAATGCGCAAGTGCAAACAGCTGTTCGGGACTCCATGTTGAAGCAGTTTCCGGTTTTGTCTGGGCAGCTGATAAGGTTGAGCAGCTCACCATTGAGGCCCCGTGTGGGCGGCATGACTCTTGCTTGGACGACATGTGGGACTCGTTCGACAAGCGTGTGATAGCACACATGCCTGAGGTGAATGGAGAGAGTTCTTTTCTGTGTCTTCGATTAACCTTGGGAATTCGGCTGCTGTTTCGCGTGCGGTAGCTTCATCGGCGTTGAGTTCGAGTGCGCCTCCTTCTTTGGAGCAAGGGCTCTTCGCTTGCTGTGATGAGTGTTGACCATCTACCTAACGATGATCGGGACATCGGGACCCTTTCTGCTGCACTATTTACATAGTCTAGACCGTTGGTTTTACGGGGATATGTGTGTGGAGAGTTCCCTAGATCGTATCGAGTACTGAGCAGGGACGCCGTTCGGGGTACTCGATTTTCGATACAGATCCACGGAGATCCTGGGGGGTACGTGGATATGTGTTGGTAGGGCAGTTGGGAGACGGAGCCCTCACAGGGCTCCATGCTCTCTCTTCCTGCTCCCTACTCTCCTCTCCAATTCTGGTATATATCAAGGTCGTGGGGTCAACCTTGTCTCGCTGCGCTTCTAACAACAGCCCACCAAACAGATTGGAGTGGTTAACACGAGCGTGGCAAGGTTTCCAGGACTTGATGCTCAACACTTCGCAGGGGAAAAGACCACCGAGCAAGTAGAGTCGTACACAACAATTTGGTTGATGTGTGGGCAACTTTGATAAACCTCTTGCCAACCAGATGTTGACACAACAGGGGGGGCGTGTGGAGGTGGGTTGTGAGGAGCCTCATCTTCGATAAATTCCTGGCAAATCCCATGTAGGATGAATCATAACCCCCCCCTTCGAATGATTCCCCCTGTATCTACGTCTCCTTGGGGTGTGCTAGTGTGACGGGAGTTGGATGTGGACATGGGGGGTTATTTTTTTCTCCATGCGTAACGGTGTTGCTGCTGTACAAGGTAGAGTAATCAGGTAGGCAGGTGACATCCATTGGACGATACTCGAGGCAAGAGCCCCGATGATCTGGTTGGCGTCTTAGCAGGACGGCCTTTGGCATCTTCGTGTCACATACCAAATATACGTGAAGATCCTTGTTGTTGGACTCGATCGGTATGACGAGACAAGGTGGGAGCGTGATTCCCCCTCCTCTATGCCACCCTTCCGCACTCAACTAGATTGAGGCCCAGAACCAATCAAAGTGTGCCGAAACAGCTCCTACTCCACTAAGATCTTCGGGTCCACCCCATGTCGCAATCGCATTCAAACAGTAGGCTGTGGTGATAGGAGGTCTTGTTCAGAGAGCCGATGGTCCTCTGTTGGTGTTTGTGATACTCGACGAGGGGGGGGCTTGGGGCAGAATCCTTCAGATCTCTTGTGTGACCCTGGCTGGTACACCCAAGCAAATAAAAGAGTTAAGGAGAGGAGGTGTAGATCGATGCCGAAAACAAATCGGATGATCGCGTACACCACACAAAACCCGTTTGCTGTACACACCATCGGCCTATAGCGAAGCAACGAAACATACCGTACAGATTTGCCAACCAGAACAGTATCCGGTCTCCATCGAAAAAGGACGAGGAAACCCGGAGACTAGACAAGTCAAGAAAAATAACCTGAACGTATGCATAGAAACACAGACGCAGAGTTTGCCCAAGTTTGCACCAATGCTCATGTTTATTACAGACGAAATAAACATTCATGCACAAAAAAAGTAAACAACTACAAGTATTTCATCACATCTCGCGTGTAGAGAGAGAGAGAGAGACAGAGTAGGGGCAGTACATGCAAGGCTACACACCTCTGCCGTGTCTGCCTCTCTGGGCTGCTAAAAAATGCGGCACGAGCCTAGCGACTTGGATCTAGAGCGGATGCCAACTGGACGTCAAGTTCAACAGCTAATTAATGAGTGGACACCGAGTTAATCCGTTCCGCCGACGTTGATGCTTGCTTACATATCCATGGACTTCGAAACATTCACTTATGAAGGAAAACGACCGCACAATACAAAAAAGACAGAGCTGCGGCGGGATATAGGTCGACGAGACAGCGCAACGGCATAACAACCCCCAACAATTCACACACGAACAACCGAAACAATACATGGACATACTGATGCAATCAATATGCTCACACAGCAGCAACAAGCCTGCAGCAGGTGCCAAAACAAAACAAATACATTCATCATTTCAGAACTCGCACCCCCTGATACCAGTACCATCTGTAACAAGGAACGCTGATTCGCGTAGAGCATCTCTAACCGAAGCGAAGACCAAGCGGCAGGGGCCACCAATCAAGTCATTTCGCATGGAGGCATGTCGAACCACAACGAATATCAAGCAGCACCAGGCGAGCTACCCAGAGAAACAAAGCAACATAAATTCATCGACAACAGGACGCAGCGCGGCATATCGAGCCAATCAGACAGCGGCCGTGAATCAATCAAACAGCGGCACCGGACGAAAACAGCGAGAACGCCGTCGACGCGAGCGTTCGCACCGCCACGTCCAAGCGCTGTCGGAAAACGATCGCCAGCGCTATCGCGATAGCGGTGCCCCAGATCCGTCTTGTCGTGCGGTCTGTGTCGGCAAGGATCTTCGAGTAGGGCATATCGTATCGAGTCTGGATCATCATGAATACCTGCAGGGCAATCAACAGTGCGGGGGGGGCGGGGGTACTCATGTAAACGCTTGCCGTAATTTAGTCGGTAGACCATAGACCTCGCATCCCCAATGCCAGTATGGAGCGAGTTGCGGCCCGGGCTACGTTTCACAAGGATGAACCAGGATCCGGCATCATCCTTGCGGTCGCCGTGCCGCACCAGAAAAGCCATGGGTTGATTGGGCATCCCGGCCACCCAATCGTTTCACATTCGTCAGGCACCACTTCTACTGGGACTTCGATCTTTTGTGCCCAAGTACAAAGCAGGCGTGCCACACATAACGAACGACGTGGATTGGCTTGACCCTTTCCCCCGAGGTGCGGAGTGAGGGGGCGAAGAGGCCACGTGTGCAGGTTTCCGCGAGCACCGTTGAAGGTATCAGTGCAGCAAAATGCCAGCGCAACATGATGAAGAAGAAAACGAACATCACCATGGCTACATCCCTGAAAGCCTAAACCGAACCGCCACAAACGACTGACTTATTCGACCAAAGCAGCAACGAGTCACACAGGAGACCCCGCGAATGAGGACGTATTCAAGCTCCTGTTCCGCTGACACTGATGATCTTCATTCAGCCAGTTACAATCACCGCCGCCACTTACAGAGACACAAACACAGACACACACGAACACACCTGCTGGCCGAAGATCTTGGGGAGGATCTTGTTGAGGAAAAACGTCCGGAGCAAAAAGTTGGCGGTCCAAAGTTTTGGCTTGAAGAAGTACGGCTGCTTGTACTGCCAGGGATAACCGATCTGGCACAGCTGTGAATTCGGAATTTCGGGGAAACCACCGGGACATCACGGCAGGGCTTCGGTTTAGACACTTCGGTTTAGACACAGCGGCAAGGTGGTCGGAATTTGTTCCATTTGGAAGGATGACCAATAGAAGCCCGAAACAACAACATACACGCGTTCGAGGAGAGCCCTCCCTTTTAGACGACGGTTTCGAGGGCCAGGGATGATGATACATGCAGGGAACTGCATCAGGCCGCTGAAAACGTTCAGCGTGCGGAGGGAAAATGGAAGCCAAACCATGCATATTACCTACTCCGTCAACTATTTCTGTGGCGTTGTTGGTGCACTCTCGTGACAGCAAAAAATGGATGTAAAGCAAGTATATCGAACCCGCAGCGTTGTAGCTATGTTTCAGTGTTGCCGTGTTCCGCAAGCGATCGCGAACGCCAACGGGACCTGAGCACTGGCTGCAAAATGACGAGGCCTTGCCGTCATGACCAATACAAGCATACAATGCCGCAGAGCGTTTGCGATGACAGATAATCACTACCAAACAAAGCACCCACGGCTGCAGAGCGATTGGGATAGACAGAAGCGCCAACAAGCAACAGCAACGACGACGACGACGACGACGACAACCCACCCTGACGAGAGCTTTGGAGTCCGCGGCTCGGGTACGCTCGTACTCGGGAAGCGCGTCCTCCACCCGGTCCCCGCAGCTCGCCAGCGCGCGCTCCAACACGATCACGTCCTCAAGAGCGGAATTCACCCCCTGTGCACCACAGCGTAACGCAGAGCGCGGAGCAGTAAGAAGCTGGTTGGGCCGACCCACCGGTCGCTGCCGCGTGTCAAACGGGCAGATGGTCGGCCTTCGTACCCCCACCATCCGCGTTCCTGTGTATCGCGTACATATCCCATTCCTCAAACGCACAACCATTGTTGTTTGCAGGGACCGATACACGCCGTTGCTGCCATAAGCGTCCACACAAAAATCCACAACATGGTCCAACCTCGTCCCCCGAAAAGGACTATCGTAACCGGAACAACCCCCACCATAACCCCTCACGTCCTATCCGAGCAGAAAGCACAAACAAAACATGAAAGAACCACGCCCCCACCCACATCACCCGTCAAGTCAGAAAAAATGGTCACACCTGGCCTAGATCAGGGGGAAAGGCGTGGATCGCGTCGCCCACGAGGGCTGCTCCACCGCCGTCTCCTTCCTCCTGACTCTTCTTACTACCCTTGACGAGCCAGTAGAGCCCCGGGCAGTACTGAGGGTCGGGAAACCGCCCGCCCTTGCTCTCCGCGAAGCGGACGAGCTCCTTGTCGCCAATCTCCTTGGCCACGGGGATCTGGGGAAAGGTTTCGGCTAGGTACGCTTTGACCTGTGGTGTGGACCAGCCAATATCAGGAAGAATGGGGGGAGGGGGGTCAGGAAATACTAACAAGGAAGTTCGTCAAAGAAGGAGGTATCGTTTTGAGATGGGGTACGCTAACGCAGGTTGGGACGACCGAGAAAAAAAGCTGCGGCGGAACAGGACGGTAAAAACACGAAAAAGGGAAAGAGGGGGGGGAGTGGGCGGGGTATGGAGGAAATTGGCAACTTGGAACTAAAAGAGTACTCTACGAAAACGTTGCAAGTAAACGGAGGGAATAAGCACAAACAATCGTGCTTAGAGCTTAAATAAATCACCTCGTCTCCCGTCTTCAAGTCCCACAAAGGGTGCCCCGGCAACGTGATGAAGTTCCCCCCCCTGGCACGGTTCTCCCTGTCCCCCCCAGGCGGTCCCCACGGAAGGATCCCTATCCGTATCACCCGCTTGGCGTCCTGAAACTTGGACAGAACCGCGTAGGCCTTTTGGCTTTCGGCCCTTGCGTCGTCGTCGTTTCCGAGAAGAAAACTATTATTATAATAGGAACGCGAGCAACGAGCAAGCGACGGAACGCGGGGGGTGGGGTACCAACACCCGACGTTGCCCACACGTTAATAGGCCAGAAGACAAAGCCTCCACACGAAACAACTGTAGGAGGTGAGCGGCGCCGGATGGCACATTTGTAGCTACAACAGCCAGCGTCAAATTGATTACGCCACGCATTTAGCTCCTTCACGAGGAGGAATCACCAAGCAACAGACCAACGGTCACCACCACAACCACCACCACACCAACAAATACCCCATCACCCACACCCACACCCACACCCACACCCACACCCACAACCACGATATACGCGATACGCGCCGCCGTTGCTGGTGGCGCACCTGGGGGCCAAGGAGAGCACCTTGTACCGCAGGCCCGAGCTCCCGGAGGGTTGCTGAGAAAATACCAGAGAGAGAGATAGAGAGAGAGAGAGAGAGAAAGAGAGAGAGAGAGAGAGAGAGAGAGAGAGAGAGAGAGAGAGAGAGAGAGAGAGAGAGAGAGAGAGAGAGAGAGAGAGAGAGAGACGAACAACAAGCGAACGCCGACACAAACACGACGTGTGTCTTTGAATGAGCCTCACTCAAACCCACAAGGTCGTAGACCGCACCAAGAGAGACTCTCACCAGCTGGAAACGATGCACGCGAAATACGAAATACGCCGCTGGATCGGCAGGCCGACGCGTGGGGGCATCGAGGTGTAGGAAACAAATTAAGATGAAGAACACAAGCATCTTGGTGAAGACGCGGTCGACTTTTGCCAACAACGTACAGGCTTGTTTGTTAACACCGCCGCGGTCGTACGCGTTTCCGCGCCCCTGAATAACATAATGTGAACACGCTCGAAGTCGCACGGCATCCTCCGACCGGGGGCACCGGCGTGCAGGTTCTACAAAGCTAGTCGGCATCTCTTGGAGGAGAAGCGTTTAAACCGGTGGGTGTTTCGTGATCCAGTCCGCAGAGACAGCAAAACACGAATGACGACCTCCCGAGTTTCAAAGCAATCATTTGCGGTTGCTACCAGGGGGCCGGTCGATGGATTCGACGAACAACACAGGCTTGAAAGAAAGACCGCACGGGAAGGCGGGTACGAATCTCTGTATTTCGAAGTAGAGTAAGCGGTCTGCTGTTTTCGGCCAATGGGTTGTAGGGACCAGACCTTATGTTCCCATCTGGTGAACTTAGAAGAGAGGAAAAACAAAAACGCTTTTCCATGTATGTTCATAGGAAGCAACATTGCCTGCACTCTGGGCACTTCCATTTCCGTTGTAAGCGGAACTGGCATTGCCACCAGTGGATATGCATGTGGTGCGACATGAGAGCGTGAGCAAATGAGATGTCTGCGGCGGCGGTGCTGAAAAACAGGCACTTGCTGCAGACCTTGCGCATATCAAATCGCCCGCGTCCCTGCTTGGCGGGCTTCTTTCCGCTCGCTGGGTCCTGCTGCTTCTGTTCCTCTTCATCCCAAGCACGTAGCTGCTGCCTAACCTGTTTTATTTATACCATTATTTCGGGCACGACGGAAGGCCGAGAAGGGGAGCGAGGATTGGAGAAGAGGCCGACATGAGAACAGACGGCTACAGGGCGCGGCGGTAGTCGTTCCGATGCAAGCGACAGCAGGCGGTGACGGGCAAGATGCACGACGAGACGAGGCGGGAACTGAGCCCACGAAGGAGGGGCAAGAGACGGCTTGCGGGGAGGAGCGTAGGGTGCTCTGCAACAGGAAAAAAAAACGCAACACAAGAGGCTATATGGAGAAAGACGAACCGTTGTGATGGAAATAGGAAAGAGGGGGACAAAAACAAGATTCGCATAGATAGGCTGCTGAGAAGTCTTCTCAGCACCACCTACAAGGGAACCAGAACATACACCACATGGTTAAGATGGGTTCATTTGTAGACGGTCCACGCTCCCTCGTACATACAGACGCGCCAAGCGTATCGGACACGCGCCGTCGCACGCAACGTCCAAGATATAGCCGGGGCCACCTAGTCTGGATATCTACCCCTCCCTGCCTATCGGCCACGGTCCTACCCACCGTCGACTTGAGACCATCGGCCCCCACAAGGAGTCGGGGACGGAACACTTTCTGGTCCCCTCCCTCCTTGTCGCCGCCACCGCTGGCGTGCGGGCTGGCCCTGACCTCGATGCCCCCGCCCTCCGGGAGTCGCTCGATGCTGTCGCACGAGTGAGAGTAGAACACCTTGATCTGCTCGGGGTACTTAGACTCCACCTGTTGGTGTGTGTGTGTGTGTGCGTGTTTTTTGTGGTGGCAGATAGACCCGTACCAAGGGAGTCGGCAAGAGACAACCAGTGCGGTGCAAGCAGCGAGAAATAGGTTAGAAAAGAAAGTGTGCAGTGTCGGGGGGGGGGGGCGAAGGCGCACCAGGTGTCGAAAAATAGTTGGGATAGCTCCCTCCTGCAGCTACCGCACCAGCGACACATACACACTTGAAAAAAGTTGAAATGATCAAAACAAGCACTCGGGCAGCCCCTAGTCTTTTGTCTTGTTTCGTTCGTTAGGGACGTAAACAAAAAAAAACCGGTCAGCGATAGGGCAGCGGTTTCGACACTGCGCGTTGGATCTCACGGCCATTGTTACGGTGTTGATGAGATTTGCTGCATGCGTCAAGAAACGTCAACCTATAACCGCTTCTGGACGGAACAGCGCGACCCCCTATGCTTAGATTGCTGCATGTTGCGCACCTCATGCGCAAAGAAAACACAGCAAAGCAGATAGAAGCGATCCCCCCCTCCACCCCGTCCACAAAAAAAACACGCAAACACGTCTCTGAGAGAGCTCCAATACGCACCTCGCTGTAAAGCAGCTGCTGGAACACGCTGCGGGGCAGCCAGTAGGCCGTGGGGCGGGTGTTGTCGATGATGGGAAGCGACAGCTCCTTGCGGTCGCCATCCGCGGGTATCCTCGTTATCGTGAACTCCCGCGTGTCCACGGAGACTTCCGCGAGCTGAGGGGGGGGGGTGGGGGGCGTACGAGTGCGAGAGCTCGTCGTGTTTGCTGTTTAGTGCAATTTGTTGTATGAAGCGGCTTTTGTACTTACGCAGTTCTTTCTAGTCAGCGAGATTCCCTCTGCCGGTCGGTCTATGAGGCGTGGCAGGACATGCTGAGGTACTAAAATAGAGACAGGACAGCACTGATCCTCAAAACGCTATCCAAATGCTTGAAGAATATTCTTCTTCTTAACGTGCAAGGCATCACACCATGTTGTTGCCGGTTTCGGCATGTTGGTGTTGAGACCATGAAGGATTTTTCATGTGGTGCTGAAGGCTACATCGGGTATCCAGCCGGCGACGAGTTGTGGAGATCAGAAAATTCCTTGATATTTCCAACTGTGGGCAAAATCGATCGATGCTTGGATATAGGAAATCCAGGTTTTCGTACAGAGGGCACCAACACGGCCGCTCGCTCGATCTGATGTAGTGACATGAAAAGAAAACACAAACATCGCTGTTCGCGTCACAAAGCGTGCTTCTGCGTTGAGCACGAGGATGCCTCACAGGGGCACATTTGCAGCACTTTTTTTCGGACCGGTGGGGCGGTGGTAAGGGGAATGGGGGATGCATGAATGCCAAATTCAGCGACGTACGTCGATTTTGGTTGCGGAGTTGTCTGGTATTTCTAGGTCACATACCCGTGAAAAAAATAAAACGGCTTAAATACACACGCGCGCACGGCGAGTTGGATTTCTTGGAAGTGTAAAACGGTAAACGTGTTTTTTTTGGGGGGAAAAGCTTGAATATATGGCTCACCATGGGCAACCAAAACAAGAACCCCCGGTGAGTTGGGCTTCTTGGCACTACGGCCACATAGTTGCCCACCAACAGTCTGTCTTCTCTCGGCGTGCCTGCCCCGCTGCGTCAATATTAAACACGGTCATGGTAGTCTACGGAGGCCTTGATTCATCGCTCGCTAAATGCGGTTTGGTAGGCTCCGTGTGAGCCAAGTGTCGCTGCAAGGTTACCTAGGAGAACATCACCTGTTGCCCATCTCCGTTTCATCGGCGGGGAACTTCCAACAGACGTATTGCTGAGGATGGGAATATATCTACCTTGGAAAATACTACGAAGTACAAAGTGTCGTGGGCAACCGTACCCGCGCATATCCTCACCTTCTCTGTTAGTCCATGCGCATCCAAAAAAAACTGCCCTCTCCTGTCGATCTGATACCTGTTGGTGCAGCCAAGGACGGCAATCGGTTTCTAGTGTAAAACCAGATGCGTGGAGGCCGTTTGGTGTACGATGTTGTGCCCCGTTGTGAGAGTGAGCGCGACCCTTGTCGTGGATTCTTTCGATATATTTATTGCGTCCACAAAACTGAAACATAAAAAATACCCACCACATGTGAAGACAACAACAACAACACACCCAATATGACTACCTGGTAATTTTTTCTTCAATATGGGAATAAAAATACTTGGCAACACCAAGAAAAGTTCTTCCTGGACTGAGCAACACGTGACCAACTTCCTAAGCACCTGAAACAGCAGTAATTTTTTACGTGGTAAAAACGTTCGTGAGTGCGGCACCATATGTCCGCTGCCGACTACAGTAGACGGTGGGCGTTTTGCCGTTGTGTGTGTGCCTATCTCTCTCTCTCTCTCTCTCTCACGCACATTCTGCCGTGCTTGCGAGACACAGACAAGAGGACAACAAATAATTTCCGTCAGACTCCATGTACATAGCTTGTGACGCCCGCGACCCTACAACACATACAATATGCAGTGCAAACGACAAGCTGAAGCGAGGAATGAAATCAGTGTGGTTGCCTTCTTCGCTCTCATGGCGATCTGCGATTGTTGTCGACTATTTGCCGCACGCAGAGAGCACAAGAGATGCACGCAGAATAATCCGCTGTGCGAGGCGTGTGCGAGAGGGAGAGGTATGTCGTCGCTGCTGCGTGGTCCTACGCAGCAGGTCGGGCAAATGTTGCTCATGTGCTGGTTTGTGTCAGCCAGCTCAACTGCACAAAGATCGGGTTGGACCGATTTGCTGTTGAACCAAGTGTCGCATTGGTGAGATGACCATAGGGGAGAACCAACCTCCATATCACCATGAAAATATCCCAAAGACTCGTGGTGTTCGCAACATTGCACCTTTCGCAAGAAAGTAGCAGCAGGACCACCAGGCAGCCCTCCTGCTGTCCCCAACACAATCAACCTATTTCATTGGCACCGGCCGACAGTCTCGTGGTTTTGCATTGAAAATCTACTTGTTGAGTTGCAGTTGCAATCAGGCGCGTCCAGCGTCTGAACCATCGCGTGTATCGGCGCGGGAGGCCCAAACAAACTTCTCCCTTCTCTCCAGTCTATGCTTTGAGCGTTAGCCTCTAAAGACCCTTACACTGCAACATGAGTGCAACTGGCAACTCTTTCGTCTGCTGACCTACCAACAACAGAGACCTACCAACAACAGCTCCAACATTCTGCGAAAAACTCACACGAAGGCGACCCTAGGATCGAAATAGTCCGCCGAAGGCGTCCTCTCTATCACCGAGATGTCACTCCACCCTCTCTTGGCCAACATCAGTGCTGTTGCCAACCCGGAGGGCCCTCCTCCCACGATAACCGCGCCTTCAGGGGCTGCTGCCCCCGACCCTGTCGCTGACATGCTGAGAGACTCGCCGGTCCCAATGATTCGACTGGGCGCTGCATGGCTTGTGCTGTGCCGAGCTGCTGTGGACGCAAGCGTTCCAAATGACGTGCCGACCCCCTGGATAAGGGCAAGGATCACCCAAGGAAGTATCTGTCCCGGTCGCGGGGCCATAGTGCCAGCGTTCCGTGTGTGTGTGCGTGTATGATGCACGGCGGATCCAACCATGACACCAATGACGCGGCGAGATTTCGGGGGGTTCCGTCGATTGTTGTACGCGTATGATACAGCAGCAGGAGTACCCGGCACGATCCAAGAAGTTACCGATCCAAGAAGGTAAGAAGTTGCGCCGCGCTGCATGTCACAGCAGCCGACATGACTGTGGACGAGATCGGCTGTACCCAGTGTGCGTCCGTCAATGGTCCTTTCTGCGCTCAACGCACGTGAATGGGCGATGGGATATATATTATATGGAAGAAGCATGCGTCAGCCTCGTTTGTTTGCAGAAAACTCTATGAATGTGCTTTGGATATGGTTGCCTATCGTCAAGGAGAGGACGCACTAACTACTGATTGCTGTATTTACAGTACTACCGTTCTTTTCTTTGTACAGAGGGTCTGGGTCACAGGGAGCCCCAAGACGGGGGATGTTTGCCGGGGTGCCATCATGATGGAGTCCACGCACTCTGTGTGAGTACAATAGTTTTATTATTTTTTTGGTACCAGGGAGAACCGCAGCTTGAAGGTTGACATGAAAATGTACGTTGCAATTTGATTGTAACAAACACTTTGAAGCAGTAGTTGCCGCATGGAACAGCCGCATAAAGGGTGGGCATGCAATAGGAGCACAACGTGCCTGTAGTTAGTTGCACGTCCCTACCCTCTTGTCCTTTTGGGCAGAGGGTCGCAACACGGTGGGGATCTGCGCTTGGTACGAGGCGCAAGGTATTGTACGTGTCTCACATAGGAGGTGCTACCCACCGTGCGAAACGGAGCCACCATATGGCGCGAAAGAAAGGTGGCAGCAAACACCACCATGACGATGAGCATAAAACCACGACATACTTTCAGAATGCATTCACATCAGTCGTACCGACTGAGGTCGATATCGTACCCCGTCGGCTTCCAAGCGTCAAAGAAAGCCTGCTCGCCGGCATCCGGCATCAATCCCTCCCCGTCCATAGAATCCTCCAGCCTCACGGAAGACAACAGTACCCTGCCGCCGTAGGCGCCGCTACCACCGTCACCTCCTTGCTCAAGCGTGTCGCCTATCTCTCTACCCCACCGATCACTAATCTCCGATGCATTCATAACTCGTCTATCTGATTTAATATCACCCCCCGAGCCCCCAGCAGCATATCCGGAAACACCCTCGTCGCCACAACCACCGATATCGTCGCCCTGGTCGGGGACGACCTCAAATCGCCCATTCACCGCCGCCTGCTTATGCCGGTGGGCCTCCAACAACTCCCGTTCTTTCCGGAGCAGGAACTGGGGGACCGCCCCAGGATGCGTCGGAACGAGCTGCGAAGATGATACGCCACCTTCAGTGGCAGAGGCTTCAAACCGAACAGCCGCACGAGTCGTCTTGTTTGGACGGCAGCGAAACACGCCGGTGCCTGCTTCGACCACATTGCTGTTTGAAGACCAGGTGCGTGTGTCCACAACGCGCCCGCCAGCGCTGGCAGGACGGCGGGCCGTGGTGTTCGCGGTGAGAGCGACGGTGGTCATAGTCGTGCGTACCGGCCGCTCCTCCCCGTTTGGTCCAGATGTCGAGTTGCCTTCGAACGCCCGCCGCCCGCTGCGATGAGCATCCGAAGGCATGGCGTGGGAAGCCCCCGTGTGGCCACCAACGGTGGTTCTTCCTCCTTCACCTAGAAACTTGTCATGCGCTTCGGGTAGGCGCGCACTTTGGGGACGAAGGCGTTCAGTCGCCGCCAAGGTGCTGCACCCTTCGTAGAACCCGACCCGGCCACTACGGCCCTCGAACGATGCCGAGCCTGGCCTGGGGTGCAGACGGGACGGCCTGACAGTGTCGAAAACTGCGGCCTCAACGCGAGCAACCGCGGCCGAGTCTTGTCGCTGCTGCTCACGCTGATCTTGGTTCTGGAGATCTCGAGTGTTTCCGTCGACGGTCCTGCTGCTGCTGCACTGCTGCTTAGCTTTGGATTCAAAGGTAGAACCACGCGCCATGGTCCCGGGCCGATTGAAGGTGGAGGCGTGACGGCCGTCTCGGACACCGGTTCGACCCTTTGTCGAGTCAGGTCTGGACTGCTGTCCTCGCGCGAGGCCCTCTTTCCTCCTCGGCGAGGTTGTCGGGGATGAGCCATACTTCGGTTGGCCTTCATCCGTCCCAACATTGCCCGTCATGGGACGGTAAATCCGGCGCGGGGAATAGGTATCAGCACCCCATCCGAACCGCTGCTGCTCCCGTTGGTTGTTGGCGGCCATCGTGCAACTTTCGGTGTTTTCAAATTCACGCCGGGCCCGTTGTAGGCGCTCCCTCTCCTCTTCCTCGTCTCCCCGAAGAACGGACAACATACGATGCTCCAGGTGCCAGGGGGGACCGGAATCGTTTTTGCCGCCATTGGATGAGGGTGGCGACGATCGTCCCAGCGTGACCGCCGCCACCAAGTTCGCGTCTTCCACCTCTCGCTCGAATCCACGCGCCTCAACCGCGGTCCTAAACGCCCTGGCTAGCTTTCCCACCTATCGAAGTCGAGGGGAGGGGCAGGTGCAGAGAATACATGTCAAAGAGTTATTTATAACGAAGTTGCCCGAAAATGACGAAAGGTGGCAACAACGAAGACAGCCTCCCACTTACCAGGTGGATCTCCATTGCCCAAATCAGAGGAGGCACTCCTAGCGGTGGCCGCCCCAGTGCTTGAAATCGGCTGTCCCCGGAGTTGTTATGCCTATCCACCGCAAGGCGTCGGCGTTCGGCCGAAGCGTCCGATCGCCGCTGCTCCACGTCGAGCGCAGCGACTACTTCGTCTGCAAGCTCCAGAAGCGCCTTTTCTGCTGGCGAGTACCTCTGCCGACGGCTCTCGCTGCCACCACTAGCTGAAGGAATTTTCTCTGGGGTGGGTGCTGATGAGACGGTAGGTTCTGGGGTGGGTCCAGCGGCCGCTGCTGCCACGCTGTCAAGGACTACGGCGGCCGTGAAGAGAAGGTTCGTTGGGTTGATGGCTGGTCGCGGTGCTCCCGCCGGGCTGGTTTACGGGTAGTTCAAGACAAGTCAAGAACCGAAGCGATTTGGGGCGGGGAGGGGGAGAAGGGCTGTCACGCTGATTGTTTACTGTGCTTCGCGCATGAGCGTGAATCCTGCGGGGCTGAAGCCCATGGTCTACTTCTACAGAGCGTATCTCTCGCGTGGCATACTCAGTTCTTCCTTCCAAGCGCGTTCCCCCGCAAGCTCGCACGACGACAGCACGGAAGGAGCCGGGACTCACCCCTCCCGTCCACCGATAAGTTGTCGGACATTTGGCGGGCGAGACACTCCCCAAGCTTGGCCTGGGTGGTGCTGAGCTGCAGCTGAAGCAAGGAGGGCCCTGGCCTCTCGGGCTCCTTCCTCTGCCTCTCGATGGTACGCCCACAGCACGTCTTCGCGTCGCTTCAGCAGGAGATCTAGTTTGCCTAGCAGACCGTACACCTGGCGGTGCGGGCGATGTTTTAGAGTGCGTTGCGATCGGACTGGGGTTTTGGTAGGACTTCGTTGAAGTAGGAATGCGGAGGGGAGGCTGTGCTGAAATAGCCATATCGTTAGGGTCGATGCCATTACTGCTCGCTCGTTCTCGGGCTTGGCCTAGACTACTTTGCAAGACGACAACATGCCAGGGAGCGTATTACCGACAGCTGCGAGGGGTTCTGCCGTAGTGCGGAAGAAGCCGCCACGAAGATACCATAAACGCGGAGCATCAGGCATCATCGCGAATGGGCACTCATCGACGGTACCCCCTCATTTCTGGTAAGACCCATCCCAAAGCTACAGACTACATTCACGTCCTGTTTTTTTGTACAAGCCACGGTCTACACGATGTTGATCCAAACAGCAGCCAGACCTGCTGTTCCATCAAAGGCTCGTCTTCCACGTCGATACCCCCGGCAACCTGGACGTGAACGTCTCTGCTTCTGGGTAAACCTGGAGAGCCTCCATTTCGTGAGAGTGGCCCAAGTCGATCTACGGGCGCCGTTTGCGACCCCTGCGTCATCCGCGGTCGACCGATGAGTGTTAACGCCCTGGCCAGACCGTCCGGGAAAAACTTCTCTCCCATCACGCCGCCAATCCTTCGTCGGAAGAACTTGACGCCAATCACCTTCAATCGGTGCATTACTTCTTGGCATGAGTGGCCATACGCCGATTCCGCGTTGGCCGGTCTAGAAGCAGGCCCGAAAACAACCCTTTTCAGCTGACGGCACTTCGCCTGAGTGAACAGTGGCCAGATTAAGGGGTGAGAAATGGTATTATTTTATCGTTTAGCGCATCATACGTGCTGTCGTCTACTTTACGCGGAACCGGGGGGGAGAGGCGTGAACTCCCTCCAACCGTCATGGAAGGCATATCATTTTTCCTTACTACAGTTTTACCTTTCCGCTTTCCCCCGCGCTTTGAACAAGTCGGGCACATGGGGTGAAACATTACATGAATATATCGGCCTCATGTCAATATCCATGCTTGTTTGGTGGCCCCTAGCACATCCCGCGATAAATCAGTATCCTTAATGCCGCACCTTCATCTGCTCATACTCCACGAGGTACAGCTGAGCGGCTGCCACGTTAAGTTGAGCTATGGTATCCTCAAGCTCTGCCTTTTCCAACCTCAGCTTGTCGACCTCAACTCGCAGCACCTCGGCCAGATCTACAACACCCCGAAGATGGAGATCAGCACCGCCGACGGTACGGCCAGGATCTGCATCCTCCGACACAACGACGGCACCACCACCACAATATCCCTCTATTGTACCATCTCCATCCTCTGTGACCAAGTTGTCTCCGGCCTCTCCTCCATCGGCCGGCCCTGCGAGCTTTCGCTTCTCCTGGGAAATGGATTCCCTTCGGGCTGACGCCCCAGTGGCCGGTATGTCCACGCCTTCTTCGTTGACGATAGGACCCCTCGCCCTTACATCTTGTTCGACTCCCTCGTCTCCGGCCGTTTTGTGCGTGGTGTCAAGGCAAGTTAACTCCTCCTGTGTCCCACAAAGCGAGTCGCCGTGTTTTTCAGCCCTCCCTTCCTGTTTCTGCACATCCTCCATCTCCTCTACAGTAACGCCTGGGTCTACTGGGGCCGACGTCGGAAGCGAAGAGCCCGTGGCATCTTCGGTTGCAGTCTCCCTGGAGAATTGTTGTTCCTCCGTGGCCGTCAGGCTGCGCGTAGGGGCCGCCGATTCAGCCGTCGAAGCAGATTTTGTCTTAGCTTTCTCTCCGGTTAACCGGTTCGGTGGTTTTCGGACAACGGCACCCTTTGTAAGTTTGCTGGGCGATGAACGTGCAGCTTTCCCGCGATCTTGTTTCGTTGTCCCTTTAGCTCGTCCGTGTTTCGTGGGCGTCATGGCCCCTCTTTTCCCGTCTCCAACATCGTTCTTAACCTCGGTGGGCACAGTGGGTGGGGGAGGTTCTGAAGCATTCGCCACGATTCCCACCGTAGGATCAGCCTTAGCGCAGCCATTTCCGCCAGTCAAAGAGCTTTCGGCCTCTCGTATTGTCGTTTCGTCCCCTCCAGGTGCTTGGTTGCCATCTTTGGTGAGGGAGCTCTTAGAAGCCTCTCCCTCCCCCTGCAGCTGTCCCTCTACTAAGGAAACACTTAAACGCTTCGCGTTGTCGTTGACCGTGACTTTGTTCGGATCATCGCGTTCGTGTGGCCTACTGGTGTCGGGCTGGGGTGGAGAGTTTCGCAGCTTTTCCTGGCCCTCCTTCTCTACCACAACTATTTTTTGACGGTCATTCGTCGGCCCCCCTGTCTTCTTACCACTGCCCTTCGTGAGCCTGGCCTTGGGTCCAGCATCCTTTTGAGAAGGATGGCGACCATCTTCAATTTGCGTTCGTGGTGTTGCCTTACGCGTTGTCGTCGTCCCTTCATCGGCAGTTCGAGAGCCGAGCGCCTGCTTGGGAGGGCCAGCAACACCCTGGACTCGACCGCTGAGTTTTTCGCGGTTAGATACGGCACCACGCTCAGACTGCAGACCGCCACTGCTTCGTCCTCGACCACGTCTTCCCCGTCCGATCGCCGAGGAACCCTGACCTCCTTTCGGTGGAACGGCGTTTGTTGGTGGGAACTCGCCCCCTTTTTTCGAAGTTTGTTTGGTGTCACAATGTTGACCTGCTCCGCTCCCTGTTTCTTCTTGGATGACGTCACGGTGGATACTACCATTTTGCTGTAGAGGCGTTACCCCGGCCCCTTGCCGCTCCGTGTCACCCTTCGCCATATCTGGCGTGGGCGCCGGCATCGTTGCCGTGGGCAAGAGCATGTCGAGCTTTGCACGAGCTGCTCGAAGGTCAGCCTCAGCTCCCAGTCGCAAGAGGCGCCGCCGAGACAGTTCCTCGAATTGGCGAGCGCGTCTCGCGATAGTCGCCGACAACGAGGCGGCAAGGCCCGGCGGTTTGCTGCTGCTATCTTCGTCTTCTTCTGAGTGCAGAACGGACTCCTGGCGCGCCAAGACAAGAATATTTGGTGGCGCTGCTGAAAGAAGCATGTTCGATCGCTGTTTTAGCACAAAAGCTATTGGATGACTACCAATCACAATCTCAGAGGTGATTAAAATGTTGGATACACGCGCCTCGCCCACGAACAAGCAAATTGGATGCAACCACCAGCTTCAAAACACGCCACACCTGCATCTGCAGCCCTTCGCTGTCCACGGCTATTGCATCGAGATCGGAAAGAGGCGCACCCTGGTCGGCACGGGACACCAGGCTTTCCAAACGCTCTATTTCGACGTGAAGGTCAAGACCTTGGTCATTGTTGCCGAGTTCTTCGCAGGGTGACCTCGGGGCATTGTTTTCAGCGTCGTCGACTACCCTTACAGTTCCACCTGGTCCACCCGTGTGTAGATCACCGAGTTCCTTCCGATCGACAGCACCGCCAGCGGACTCGCCTTCCCATCCCGTATCAACCCATGAACTTGCTCTCCGCAAAGAAACGAGCTCCGCTTCGACTAGAGTGCGATCCGTCAGTGCCGTGACAAGCTCGTGCTGCAGTTTAACGCATCGTGAGCACGTCCTCGCGGTGCTCTCCTCATTGCTCTTGGCGGCAATGATAGATGGCGATGGAGGAGATCCCTTTCGAGACTCCCAGTTGTTGTCGTTTGCCGTTCCGCCTCTACACCCGGTGAAGGCGAGAGTTGTCCCGTTTCCGTTGTTCGAATCGGTTAGATCGTCTGTGTCAGGAGGCTTACTGGTGTCTGCCATTGTGTCACGTTCCGATGACAACCCATCGCCTCTTTTTGCGCAGCAGGTGCTATCCTCCAGAGAATGGTCAACCGCGTTTTGATTAGCGGCGGTTAGGATGGGAGAGGCGGGCCGTGACGTGACCGGAGAGACGGAAAGAGGCGAGTTGATTGCTGGCCCGCCAGCGACATCATCCGCAGCTCGAAGCAGCTTCGCCGTTTTCCCAATAAACACAGGGTCGTCTGTTGCCAAAGTTCGTTGCTGCTCCCGCACAAGGATCGACTCTTTGACATGTCGCGCTCGCTGTTCGGCAAGGGCCATATCCCTGGCATGCACCAGACACCGCAGCTCATGCACCTTGAAAGCATAGGTGGAGCGGAGAGAGACCATTTGATTGCTTCAGCATTGAACACCAGGCTACATTGTGTATTTGAGAAAGCGCTGCCAGGGAATTTTCTTTGTCAGGGGGAAAGTCGCATATTGAATCGGCACATTGTTGCGTTCTGCATCACCTCGTTCATCAATGCCGCATACTGCAACGGTCATACAGTAGTCTCAGCCGAGTACCTTACAAAAACATCCTACAAATATACAAACTCGGTTATTATGTACCAAAGACACGTACCATTCGATGTGAAAGCAATTCAGCCATTTACATCCCAATTTTTTGTCAGGTTCCGACCATACGACAACCACGACATGTACTCTAGACTATTGTACATTCCAATAGACTCAAACGAGTACACCAGCTCACTGTTGAGGGCGTTTTCTCGTCACAAGACTACTCACCAAGTTGGTCTGGGCCGACTGCCATGTACTCGGGCCCGCTGTGAGAATCTTGTCGGCACCATGCTTATTATCGCTGTCTCCTTTAAAGGAGCTGAAGCCGTTGCCGGCCGGTCCTTGCGCCATGTCGGCGCAGAGAGATGTCGGCAGTGAAAAGGTGAAAACGTCAACGCACCTAAGACATGGCTAGATGTCGCATACAGACAAGATTCCCCAAACCGTACTGCTGTGATGGCTGGGGAAGCCCCAGTGGGACTTGACCACACGGTATCGACAGCAGCCGCGTACCTCCCACGCAACAGACCAGCCGACCCGACTGGATCGGTGATCGTACCAAACGACACCTATTCCGCCGCATGCAATATTTGCCGACTCTATTACACTCTCATCCTGAATTTGGCAGCTGTTTGTCAATATCGCCTGCAGAAAAAGATACCCTGTGCTTCAAACGACGGGCCCTGTTCAAGTCGCTCAGCTCCAAGCGATCATGCGTGTGTAATTTTCGTCCTGACTTCACTGTCCTTGATCTACAGAAGTACAGTACATGCAGGTGATCGAGAGTGCAAACGTCTCGCCGCTCGTACCAATTAGGCCGCCTGTGCACATGTAATTTATCATGTATCACCATCGTTGATCGTGTGTCTGTGGGCCTGTTCGTAGCACCGCGGCAGCCGTGAAGTGAAGCCTTACGGTATCACTGTTTCGTCCTTGTTTCTTCTCCAAGGGGCGAAAAACACGTGCCAAACAAAGGGTCCATACACGCGCTGATCGTCTGAGCTCAATACATTGCCGGCAAGACTTTCCCCATCCGTGCACTTCGACCGTTCAATTAATCTTGGCGCTGGAGTGGAGTCTTAAATGATACTTTACTGAAAAAGAACAAGGAAAGTGCCAAGGTGGCCTCTAGCTCCGCGCCAGGAGTATCTCTACCCGTAGGTGTAGCAAACACTTGAGCAAGATATGATGTTGGGCACAAAATTACTGCAGAAGGTTGTCACAGAACGAAAACCCTTAAGAAACCCTGAAGGGGATACACATGTCAAAGGCTTCACAGTGGGCCGCCCTTCTGATTATATACTCGTGGGCAACGACGTCCTTCCATTGGTCATCTGACTAACGCTTGGTCATCTGACTAACGCGGTATGCGCAAACGCAACACCATGCAACAATAAACTACGTGCTGGTAGGGTAAATCCGCAATGGATGCGTCCGAAGACACCAAGAACCCGATCATACAACACAGTACATAAATTGTTCCGTCGTTGGGTTACTCTTTTTCGTTGGCGTCAATACATCTGTACGTGCACAGTACCGGACTTATTGCCCCCACTCGCGTTAGCAAAGTTCGACACCGTCGGGAATCTACTCAGCTGCATGAACTACTTTACAATGTACTTCTAGTCAGGACCTACACCAAACGCAATCGCCGCGACGTCTTGTTTTATCGTACCCAAGCAGCAAAAAAACGACCCCCTTGTAACCAGCACCTACGCAACGTAGTCCTTACACTTACGCGCACCCACCAATCCCTCTTCATTGCACCAACCGTGTCAAGTGCAGAATGAGCATTGGAGCGAAAGCACGTAGTACCGATTCGTAGCTGCTCAACCACCCGCAGGGACAAATTCCTAGTTGAGCCCTGACGGCTTCGTTCTCTGTGAAAATAAAACAAAACGGGTTTGTGCAAGTACCGTTGCGATGCATATGCGCATGATCCGCACGAGTTGTTTAGCACCTTGGGGTCAGGCTAGGATATCACGACTCGTCATCGCCACCGGCCAAACAAACCCGTTAATACGCGTGCAATGCCCGCCACCCCATCGGTCAAACCCTTCGCCCTGCCCGCCGCTGGGCTGTCTCTTCGACCGCCCTCTTCCCCACGTTGCGGCAAATCCCAAAGCCCTCTACTCGCCCGCTTTGCGTCTCCCTCAGCCGCAACGAATATCTCGCGGTCCTCCAGGAGGCGTTTGAGTGCGGGGAAAGGCTGCTCGGAATCGTCCCCGCCCCAACCCGTGCTTGCAGCGCCGGTCCGATGGCGATGCGTTTGAGCGCTCGCGGCAGACGTTGCTGGTCTTACTGCTGCTGCCACTGCTGCCGAGGCAGGGTTGAGGCCATTGCAGTCCGCCGCGGCCCACCACTGTTCCTCGCGCAGTCTCGCGAGGCCCTGGGAAATAATGTACTCTCCGAACCCCGCCCTGGGGTCGATTCGAGACTGTAGCATGTCCCGCCAGAGCACGCCCCTCCGTCGGTGGATGTGACATACGGCTACAGGCCCAGAAACCTGCACACAAATATCGCAAAAGGAATGGTTCGACTTTTGAAGGCACAGGGTGTGTACTGGACAACATTCTGGTCCACGCGGCAGGTCTCGGGGGGACGTTGGGACGAGCGCCGATGCGTTAGTCTTCCGATTGCAGGTCTCCAGGTCCAACACAAGGAGGTGGCCTCGAACAACCGGGTAATATCTCCGAAAGCTGAAGCATCGGGATTCTCGAGCATGAAATCAAGAGAAATTCAGGCGCTGGGACGGGTATCAAAAGCCTAAACGGGCTTTGTTTGTAAACAAACATGGCAGCATGCGACAGACACAAGGTAGCAGAATTGTTCATCAGGGCAAGCACAAAACCAACTCAAAAATGTATTCGAGAATATCATAATGTGAAGCACAGTGGCCGGGGCTCTGACTGTGAACCGGTCAAGAGACTAGACACGAAGGCTGGGTGAGAATCTGACCACGGAAAGGGGTGGCCAGCTCTGCAGGTGTGCATTGATACCCACCAAACGTCCACCAGTCTGCTACTTCTGGCGTCAGTATCGATTGGACAGGGTCTGTCTCTCCAGTCACCTGTTCGGTCGCTCCGATGCCGAAACCCACCCCAGAAGTCGCGCTCGGAGAAGCCGCTGACCTCTGCTCCCGAAACAAAAGCTCGGCATCACAGTAAACCCCCACCAGAGGCTTCACCAGCTCCTTTCGTGCAAGCAGAACGCCTTCACTTTCCGCCGAAACCCCGCAAAGCCTCAGGGTAAAGGTGGCAGCATCGCTGCCGCCAGCGCTCGGGAGAAGGGACCGCGGCGGAAGGCGGAGGAGGCGCCGGGGGAGCGTGATGTGCTCCGCGTGCAGCAGCACTTTGAGGAAGGGAGTGGAAGCGGTCAAGGACACCAAGCAAGCGGGGTATTGAAGTCAGGGGGGGGGGGGGAGGGAGGGGTACTCTTATGTTTTGCATGCCTTAGCGGCTAGACCATTGACCACGCGTCCTCGAGAGGACGGAGCATTGTTCCCACAGGACCGATCACCGATGGCCAATCGTTCCTTCCTACTTTGCCAAAGGTGGCTCAAAAATGTCTTCCTAGTCTATCTATCCCAACGATATATCTTCCCGCTTTTTCAAACCATTTCCTATTCCCCAGGACAGCTACCGCCCTCTCCTCTCTAATCCATGCCTCAAACATCCCCCTGAACCTCCCTTGTGTTTTCTCCAGCTCAGTCATGTACACTTCCCTCTCCTTATTGTACAGCCGACATTCCGCGACTACATTAACACGGTCTTCGCATTCGAAGCCGCAATCACATTTGAACCTGTCGTCTTCGTCGTTTACCGTCCTATGTCTTCGTCGACATTCTCGAAGGCCTATATCCCTGGTCCTGAATTTGCTTTGTCCCTGCATCCATTGGTACATGTAGGTAATCCTTGAACCCTATTCCTTCTTGCAACATTCCGTACACTTCTAGACCCTCCTTATCCTTGGTTTCTTTTCTTAAATCCTGTTCTTCTCTCTCGGCACAAGCAACAGATATATTCTCCTTGAACCCCTGTAGACCCTCCGTTTCCAGCGTTTCATCTTCGTCTATGTCGAACCCCTTCCATACGTCCTCTACAACCTTGACCCATTCCGTGGGTTGTCTACCCCTCTTTTTGTTTGCCCACTTAGCCTCCCATACTATTCTCGGCAACCTCTCCTCTCCCATCCCGCACATGCGATACTGCCATGTCAGCTTCCTTGCGTCTCTTCCCGACCGTAGGGATTGGATCCCCATTTCTGCCCTGACGGCTGCATAACTTGTGGGCTTGGAGCATCCTAGGATGATTTTCGCTGCTTTCATCTGCGCCGCCGTGAGTTCTTTCACTACCTTCTTACTTCCTTCCCATTATTCTCCGGCGTACTCTAGCGGCGGTACAATTACGCTCTTCAAAACCGTCAATTTGATGCGTGTATCGAGGTGCCGGTTTGCGAGTATTGGGTGCAGCTTCCCTGCTCGTGCTTTGCCCTTTTCCACTACCTTGGACATGTGTGCATTACACGAGCAGTCTTTTGCGATCTCTACTCCGAGGTATGTGTATTGGTCCACTACCGCAATTTCCTCGATCCCCCATTCCCATCTGTATTTTACGGGTTCCTCCCTGTCCTCGTTGTATACCAGGAGGGCACATTTTTTTTAACGTGGGCAGACAATCTCCATTTTTCAGTAAATTTTTTAGTGGGGGGGGGGGGGGTTGGAAAAGGTGGTGTCGGTGTTGCCTGTTCAGGATCGACAGTCACTTGTGCCGGTTGGATCGATCCGTGTGTAATTCGATTGTTCTCTTCCTCTACTCTCGGGGATTGTGGTCTGTCTGGTGGCCTCTCTCTCTCTCTCTCTCTCTCTCTCTCTCTCTGCATACGTAATCGATTAGTCGCGATAACAAACGTGCATCCGTTGACAACTAGCAGCATAGGCAAAATACGTCGGCTCAAACATGCAAGCACCACGCCTAACAAAGCATCTGCAGAGGTGTTGCGGACAAACATACTACACGCAACGATGCATCGACTTCGTGCATTCATTGGTGTGTGCCTACTGGCCGTCGAACGTGGACTTCGATACCTCGGTGGCAGGAAAACGGTCTCTCAAAAACGCCACCTACAAAATTATGGGTAGACATGTCGTCCCACCCACCGTCTGTACCCTTGGGTCTGGCCGTGAGGATTTCTACTCCGGCAGCGTCGATACGACCACGGCCGTCTTTCGGAGGACCGTCGAAGGTTGGAGGCGCTGCAGGTGCTTCGGAAATCTGCGCTATTCGAACCCGCACTCTTTTTCGGCGTTCGAAATACGACGCGGGCACCTGAGCGGCCGAACGAAATCCCTGAATGTAGGGGCCGTGTGAGCGAGTGTTGCATGTAAGAGAAAACAGGTGCATCTCAAGTGTTTGCTATGTACCAACCTCACCAATGGCACTGACGGGAACAGGACGAATATTGTGTGGGGAGGATGCTTACGAGAGCCTCCGGCGGTTCAAGATGTCTCTACATTGACGGAGACAATAATCGAAGCAAGCTGATTTGCGCACAATAGTTCTTGAAACGCCGCCGTCAACACATGTCTGAAGGGTATCCCCAAACAAGCCTCACGTGCACACCCCGGCGGTAGACGAGAAAAGAGATGGCCAGCGCCGAACCCACCATCATAGTCGCCGTGCCAGCCCTGGCAAACCCCGCAGCAGCAACGCGAGCAACCGAACCGAGACCCGCGGGAGGTGGCAAGGCAGGGACAGTCATGAGATGCACGAGGCACCTGGAACGGTTCTGCTCAGATATGGAAATGTGCATGCGCATTCCGACACATTCTGAGGCACGCATCCGTCGCTGGGGGTGTGGTCGGATGCGGTAGTTCAGCCCTTCAGAAAGTTTGCCCAATCCAAGTCAACGATCCCCGGTCGTTCCCGGGAGGCTCTGTAATGGCCAGCAGATTGTTTTTGCTGTCGGAATTGTTCACAGAACTGGCCACCCGAGGGAACGCTCCTGAGTGAGAAAAAGAGCGGGACGTAGGCGCTCAAGACGACTCGAATCACTGACAAAAACTACTACTTCAAGTACCAAGAATTTATTACTGCGCGTGCCAAGACGCCAAGACCGTATGAGGCATCCTTCCCGCTATGGGCATATCTACAACTGTTTTAATAATCGCCCTCAGCCCACCGGAATAACCCGAGATTGTCGTTAATCTTGATGGATATCGTGGCAAGCACTCCCTCGGTTTTGCGCGGCGAAGGCTGCGAAGGTGCGCCTCCTGCTGCTGTCGCCGCCGCCTTGGCGCCCATTTCGCCGCCAACTCCATTTCCCCGCGCATGGTTGTGTTGGTCGCCGCTCTCCATTAAGCTGGTGCGCTGTCAAGTTTCTCACTGAAAAGTAGCCCTGCTGTTGCCCTTCCTTTCCCACCTTGCCTCCTGCTCTCGTTTCCGTGCGCAAATACTCTGCATGTACACTGCTACACGCTGCTGTACACCGCTGTGTGCGATGTACACTGGGGCAACTGAGATTCCCTGATGGCCGATTATCTGCTTATACCTGCCCAACGGCACAGCACCGGAACGTTACGAAGATGCTGCAGTGATTGCGTAAGCACGCAGTGCCCGCCACAGTCCACGTGCTCCGTTTGTTTGGGGAGGTGTTGGGTGTTGGGGGGGCGTTGATGACGAGTCGTAGCGGGGGGTCTTCGCGGGACTGTCATAAAATCGATCTCGCTGTTCTCTTTCTCGCCGCCCCTTCTGCGGCAAGCCGGCACGTCACCAGCTGGTACCTGGTAACACTACTCGACATACCCTTTTCCTCTACATGGGAACGTGGGAAAGGCACAAAGGACTCTACTTCGAGGCGCTGGGGAGGGAGGTATCTGCCACACCAAAGTCACAACATGTCCGCGTGGCAGGCAGGATTTCGTTGGATATTTTCACCATGTGGTCCGTCTTCGGACGAGCGTGTGTGTTCAGAAGGGGCTACTCTCTGCCCCCCCCCTCCCCCCCTCGTCTCTCTCTCTCTCTCTCTCTCTCTCTCTCTCTCTCTCTCTCTCTCTCTCTCTCTCTTTCTCTCCGTTTGTATTGGGACAAGGGTGAGACTGCAAATGTTTGCGCCGCACACCATACAGCAGTATTTTACCATGCGAGAGGTACCTCCCATTTCTCGCCACTACATGTGTCCTGCGGAGTCACTGCTGTATGCTGCTGTTGCTCGCTCCTGCCTCCTTTGTCGCTGTTCGCTGTTCGCTGTTTCTCAATCTCTCCAGTCGACATATCAACAAAGGCACCATGCGCGATAAGAAGGGCGAAAACGAGTTCCAAGTAGTGGTGAGTGAGAGGCAGGCCCGCAGATGTGTGGGGTGTGTGGGGCCGCAAGCATGCCATATCATCCTCGCTACGTCCGCATCTCCTGACACTCTCACTCTCTCCCATGTGGTGCGCACACTCTCTTTCGCGCGCTCCCATTTAATTGAACGCATACCAAGCTTCCGCGCCAGCCTGCTAAAGATCCGGTGGTTGTAAACCTGTTTGGACGTTCCGGGTTTTGCGATGTCAGCACAACAATCATAGAGAAGTCCTAAAAAGTACCCACAGGGCTCAGCGGGAATGCGTGGAAATCTTCACCGCGGTGGTAGCGCCGCGGTCCGTGCAGAGAGAGAACGTGCAAAAGTTACTACATTGCGAAGTACATGTGGTTGCGCGCATCACTTCTCATCTCTTGGCATCTACAGGTGGGCGGCCAGAAGCTCGAAGAGATCAGCCACAAGGATGGCAACGCCTACATCGAGATGGATCTCTGGTAAGATCACTACTTACAACGTGAGTGTATTGGGAAGGTTGATTTTTGTGTCTTTTGGACGCAGCGTACTGTCGACGATACTGCAAGACAGGGTTTCAACGCATGTGTTGCCGGTGCCTCCGATCTGTTTGCTTCCAACCCTGCGTATACAAGCATTCATTGCTGGGGGTAGGAAGTCTGAATCTCAAGAAGCTGAATGAGAATGTCCAAGCAAGACAACCTAGAATGACGGGATATTCACCAACTAAAGAACGTGTTCAGCGCGTCCGTCCCAACAGGGCACTTTGCACCCATCACAGAACCCCCCCTGCCAGCACGAACAAGCCATCCTCCCTGCTCCGCCTCCAACACGATGCGTAATCATCATTCAAATGCACCCCTCGTTGCCACCCCCCTCCTGTTTTCTGTAAGCTCCAAGGTTTCCTACGATGTCATGTACACGTCAGAGATCAAGAGGCTCGGCGCTGTGGAAGTACGTAACTCAAAAGTGGCCCGTGGTGAGGACCTTTCGGAGGTAGCCGAGCGGGGTCATACTGCACCATCTTTGTACAAAGAGTGGGCGGCTCCGTAGCGCAGGTTGAGTAGTGCCGACTTCCCGTGTTCGTGCCGGTGGAATCGCGTCAAGTGGTTTCATACTTTTCCAAATTGGCTGACGCTTACGGTTGAGCGTCACTACTGAGCAGCACCCCACCATTTTCGCTGCTGCTTTGACATGCGTGCGGGCAATAGTTTCCCTGCAACCTCTGCATGGTAATTTGCAGTTAATGTGGTACACGTTATTCCGCAACCTGTTTTGGACTGGAAGCATTTTTGGACTGAAAGGTCGATTTTCCTCTGCCCACCTCGCGTGCGATCTACCATTTTTTTTTCTGGTCGGAACGGTGCTTGTTTCTGCGCGGGTGTGGGTGGGTGCTAACTGGCGTTGAACACCAAAAACGCTAACACCAACAATGCCAAACAGACCCCGTACACGGTGGTGGTGAGGAACACCTCGAGCAACGGAAACTTCCCCCAGCTATTCGTCGATGGTCAGAAGGTCAGTCCTGTGCTTTTTTCTGTGTGGCGTTGGAACCTCCCACCTGAAGCGCGCGTCGCCGCGCTGTGCTAGAACGTAAAATAATTGGTTTCGTCTCTCGCCCGGGTGCACACGTAGTTTTCCAGAAAACGTTCATTTTGGTCATGGGCTACGGTGTGGCTGCCTCGTCCGGGTGGGAAAGGGGCAGCACCGTCTTGGTTTTTGGCGCAACGCTCTTCTGGTCGTAAACTCGGAGCCTGGTGTGTAGCGTCAAAGCAGCTGCTTTCACTTTGGGAGCCTCTTTTCATTTTAGACAAGCCCTTCCATTTTGTGTGCGACGTACGCGCACGATACCTTTGGGGTAGGAGCTGGCAACGGAATTCACATTGCCGGCACCGGGGGCGTTCTACTCCCACGTTTACGAAACGGGCAAGCATCCCTATGTCAGGGCTCAAGATTCCTCACCAAACAAAATTTTGGCATCAACCTGCCCCCGCAGGAAACGACCACACTGAACGCCACCTAGGTGTTCAAGTCAGGTTTTTTCGCTAGGGGATGATGCTTGCTCATATCTCTTTCCTCATCTCCTAACCCATCTACCCATGCAGGTCGCCGAAAAGAACGTGCCAGGCTGCCGCAGCGTCATTTTTGAGGGAATCCCTACCCGCGAAGGAATTCAAGAGCTGCTGTTTGCCCTCCCCAGGTGCCGAGGACCTGACCAGAGTAGCGACCGCTTGACAAGGATGCCAGATTAGCTGGAAGACTATATTTTCAGGATACGTGCAGCTAAAACTTCGGACTCCATCGGACAGTAAGTGCTTGTATTGTACTGCGCAGGCAAGGTGCCCGAAAAGGCTGTGGTGACTATAAAGCATCTCTAGATCGACCTCCAAGTAACGCCTCATCGTCTTAAGTTCTTGCTTGTCTTCCTGTGCAGTGCGCCGCTCACGTGGTTTAGAAGAACGACGGGGGACACAACACCATGATGATGAACGCATCGATGCTACAAGGGTAAACAACACACAGGGTAAACCACAAAATAGAGTGTACTCTGGTCACATAGCGACTCAGTTGGGTTCATTCATTTTGAACTGAGCCTTACAGCTGATTGACCGACGCTAACATTCACCCTGCCGTGTCACAAAAAGCCCGGGGTGCACTGCCACCCCTACTTCTGAAGCGTACTCTGCCCTGACGGGAGATGGGATCCTTCCATCGGCCATTTCCTCCTAAGGAATCAGGTTCCGTTCCCACCAAAGAACACCAAAAACGCGAATCTTCCAGCCGAAATGAGGGCAACCATTGGTCGAAGGCAGCATGATTGACAAGCCGGCCGAAGCAGAACATGCATCAAACATTCCAGAAGAGCAATGGGTGGATGTGTGGTTACAGAGAGGAGAGGAGAGGCACACACGTTACCACACAAATCATCATGAACATGGGCGAGGTCAGGGGCAATAGCTGCGGTGGTAGAAATGTCCCTTGAAATTCCCAATGACGAAGGGCGCAGTGAAACACAGCGAAAAAACGTAGCGAGGTGGCACGAGGACAGAGCAACACTCGGAAAAACAAACCTCGAACAACCAGAGAGAGCACGAATTCTGTATCAACTAGCAGAGGTTTGCACGCAAATGATGCGAGACAACCTTGGTTCGGTAGGGAAGGTAGCACGGTCGCTCGGCGGAACCCTGGTTACACCACCGGTAGACCCGAACCACGTCAGACAATATTAAAGTCTACATCATGGCAAGAAACCTGGTAAAGTGAAGTGATTACTGCAGAAAAATGGCCTATGGAAGGGTGTCATTTGACGCCAGGGCAAGGCGCATTTCGGAAAATCGGGTGATACGTACAGAGAATATTAGCCGTGGCAGGCAGGTGCACCGCGATTCTTGTGGCTCGGCCGGGTGAAAGTGGGCGTCGACTATTCAGCTTGACTCTCTTCACGCTGATTTAAAGTGTGTGCCCGGCTGAGTCCCTCTTTGCCTGGGTGTATTTACGCTGTTGTGTCGTTTTCCCTCTTCTTACCGTAAGGATGCGGGTCTTGGCGCCCTGCTGCGCGCTCGTCTTTGCTTGTCGCACAGGGGCGCCAAGACGCCGATCCGTGACAAAGAACCTGACAATCCGTGCGACGACTCCGATCCGTGCGATTCTGAATACAATAAATCGGCGATGTGGGGTGTGAACGCGCACCCCCGTGCCGAGAATCCGATATGTACGATCCTGAACACTTCGCCGCTTTCACACCACCACTTCGTGTGTACCGTATTGAAGCAACAAGATCACAACACGACCAACGCTTTTTGTGTTTGCCGGTTGACATTTGATATGGATCAGTTGGTAGCAGGTCGGCGCTAGAATGCTGCAATTTCAGCGGGTTGTGGCCTGTAGAGAAGAGGTTTGGTTTGGTGCCACGAACAAAGAACGCCGTAGTGGCCTACCGGGTGTGTGTCATTTCCTGCCATACCTTCTTGACCAGGTAACGAATTGTCTCCCGGTATCTTTGTCGGTAGTCGGGTTGTACGCGTTCTTGTTATTGGAGTCGATACCGTTTGCCAAACTCGATGATAATATCAACAAACAGCAAGACGTTTTAGGAATAAAACAATTACCTGACTTGCACATGAGCAACGTCACGGTGCCAACGTACAGCAGCAATTGCCCATGATAAAGCTGCATGCCATTCGCGGTATCGCCCGACCGCACCGAAGGTATTGGGGTCTTCGCACCCCTGTGCGAAGTGAACGATACTTGTGCGACAATCGACGTGATCACGTGGAGCCCGATTTTTTTTCGTACCCGTATGCCAAGACCCGCATCCTTGCGGTTTTAGCATCTCGGTCTTTTCGCCCCTCCGAGACAGGAAAAGCACCGTGAAGGAACGTGGGATGAGTGGAAAGTCGCTGCCGGATGCAATAGCGCGCGAGATCGGGACGATAAAGATCGTTTGGCGCGACTGTGTCAAGGTCGGGAAAGAGTAAGTGTGATTTCTGTTTATTTCGTGCATAGTTGATCGTTTTGTCAAGTCCCCCCGCACGCACGCCTCCGCAAGACACCTGAGCACTCACATACCTTGACATGGCGCACGCACCCCGGTGAATCTAGCGACGGTGTTTTGACTACGAGATGCAAAACAAACCTGTTTTACCTTCAAACTAGCAGTTCGCGAGGTGTCGAAATACACGTGGAAGTTTGTGGAGTTGGCGTCTGCTCTCGTTAGTTATTGCCGTCTCGTATGAAGCAGAGAGTAGCTCCCGCTCTTCCCTTTTCCCCGGGTGTTGTCAGTGTTCAACAGACAAGTAGGGGATGCAAAGACCACGGCTGTTGGACCAGTGGTATCTCAGGTAGCCTACCTAGCCTGGGTATGTGATTGCAACGGTCCTGGGTCCGCTCTTCTTTGGACCTCGACATGCCCCACCAACAGCATCATGTGTAGTTTGTGGTCGAAGACGACGGCGAATGGCTTGACTCTGGTCGCAAATGATATCACCGCTTAAGTTGGAACAGCTCTCTCTACATGTGTTCGCTGTATCTTTAGTGTGCGTCCCCGACGATTTTTCGTTCTCTGCGCCTTTCTCTCTCTGGATCTCTGCCTCCCCCGCTCTCTCTCTTTCTCGCAGGTTCTCGGACAACTGCCGGGAGTACGCCACGGTAAGCTCCTACAAGCAGGCCAACAAGACCGACGCCGTGGCCACCGGAGGCGCGGGGACGGGAGCGGGCGAGGGCATGAGCTTCTCGTCTACCACAAGGTTAGCGATGAAACGACCACATGCGGCGGGTCTCTTCTATCGCTTTCTCCCGTACGCATGCATCGAAGAAGTGATGTCGAGGAGGAATCCAAGCAAAGAGCTTCGTTGGGCGTGAAAAATGGTGGTTTCTGTGCCTCTCCAGTTGCGGCAACAGTAGTGCTGCGGGACGTGGGGTGGCGGACGGCCATGGTGGTCGTAGTTTCGGGGAATTCAACTCTTCTGTTCAGCGTTCCGGGCGTAATTCTGGTGGTGAATGGCAAGAGTGACTACCACCAGAACGTTTGCAGAATACCGCGAAGTGCAACACACAAGAAGTGTGGTATCTCCGCCTGCCACGATCGCCATGACCGTCCGCCACCCCACATTCCGCACCACCAACCTTGGCCGCGACCGAAGCCATAGGCAAAGAAACCACCTATTCCTACGCCCACGTCGTTATCGTTTGCCACATTAGCGTTTAGCTCTCACGTCAAAACGTTTTTTCTTCTCGCAGGCACCTGAGTTTGACGGTCGGGAACAACTGCTGTCATGAGATCGGGGTAGTTCGTGACCTAGCCAGCTTGGGTAGCTTCAAAATAAGACTGAATCCAAATGCCCCGGCTTGGACACCGGGGCTATGCAGCAGCAGAGAGCACGGTGAGGGTGGCAGAGTCACCACAAACCGTGGGGGTATGCACCAGAGAGAGAGAAGGAAATACTCCAGAGCTGGAGGGCCACACCGCTCCAGAACTGGAAGAAAACTCTCTGGGACGAAAGGCAATCACCGAGGTAACGTTTACGTTAGCCCGAGAGCCCCCAAAGCCATAAAGAAAGCATATTAAAAAAGGGAAAGGAGGAAAAGGAGGGACGGGCGGAGCGCAGGCTGGCTAAGAGCGCAGCACGCGCCGCCCGAAAGAGACAGCAGGGTCGACTTCTTAGGGTAGCAACCTGTGCGGATTCTGGCTGTAAACGGGGCGAATGGATATGGGCGATCCTAGAGCATCCCACAATAGGCAGCGAGACAAGACGTACCGGCGGTGGGGCAGCAGGAGACCAAGAGGCGAGGTCAAACGGTGTTCGAATCAGCGGGTTCCCGGTTGTTCTGCTGAAGTCCATGGTGTGGGAATAGCGGTTCAGGAGTCAATATGCAAAACCTCCACTTTCACCGCGAACTGTATGACGATGAACGCCTCATGGCCGTGAGGTTTGAGATGACGGGCCACCGCGGAGTGGTCAACTTCGTTGCTGCATACGCCGCAACCGATGTCGCCACAGTCGACACCAAGAGAAAAACGGTCTGGCGAAAGCTTGACGGTCTCGTGCGGAGGATCCCTTCCAAAGAGTGTGTGTGGTCCTGATGGCCGCCAATGCGCGGACAGGAGAGAGGATGGATGGAGAGGACGGGGGGGTCATGGGCACACGTGGGCGTGATGAGCTGAACGACAATGGCAGGCTGTTGCTAACCTTCGCAACGGACAACAAGCTACCAATCACGAACGCCTTCTTTGAGACAGCCAAGGGCGGAATATGGCAAACATATTCTATATGTCACAAATACAACGGTGTGTCAGGGACGGTTGGAAGCGCCTCGATTACATCCTAACGCGGCAGGCACACCACGGCCGGGTGTCGAACGTGGTTGTCATCCCCCAGCCGGCACGCCCAGCCAAGGAGGACTCAGATCACAACATGGTGATAGCTATCGTCAACCTCGGTGCAGACTCGCCCACAACCGAGCGGTTCGGACCAAACCGAAGCAGACGCAGTTCAGCCAGCGGGAGTTACAGGTCGAAGCAACGCGATGGGCGGTGACTGACCGTTTCCTCCTCAACCTCGACCAACGACTGGGCGAGTACGCGACCACCACCCCGGAGATAGCGACCGAGGTTTACCAATGCTCTCCTCGAAGCAGCACGGACGACCGTACCCGAGGGACCGCGGAGACGATACACGCAGGAGTGGTGTGAGACCCCAGAGACGAGAGCAGCATTGGAAGAGGCCCTTATCACCAAGCGGCGGGAAGCGCGCCGCACGATGATTGGCAACGGAACTCAACAGCATGGAGGACCCTCAAAGCAGCCTGTACAGGATTGGCTGCAGCAGTGGAAACGGGCATCTACGCCAACCTGAACAGAGTTGTGACGGAACTCGAAGCGATCTACAACGATCGAGACGTGAGAGGACTCTACAAACACCTCAAGAGGTCGGTGGGCCTCAACGGGCGACAAGCGGGAGGACAGCAGTTCGTCGCAGACGTGAATGGCGTGCTGCTCCGGAACAAAGACGACATCCTCCAGCGGGGGGCGATATTCTTCGGCACCGTCCTCAACATCAGACCTCGAGGAGGTGGGACGGGCAACGAAAGGCCTGCAGAACTAGAAGGCACCCGGTCATGACTCCCTTCCTCCCGAGTTGCTCAAGGTCGATGGCGACGGACCCATCGTACGGGGGCACCTCCATGCCCTCCTCGATAAGGTGAGGAGAGGAGGAGAGATCCCGCAAGAGTGGAAGGACGCAACGGTCAAAGTGCTGTACAAGAAAGGGTGACCGGTCCAATCGCAACAACTTCAGGGGGATCTCGCTGCTATCTAACGTAGGCAGAGTCCCCATCAAGATCACCACCAACCAATAAAGCTCCTTCTGCGAAGCCAACAACATCATTCCGGAGGAGCAGTGCGGATTCCGACCTGCGCGATCCACCGTTGACATGCTGTTCGTCGTTCGCCGACTCCAGGAGCTGGGGCGGAGAAGGAAAGTATTGCTTTTATGTGCCTCAACGACCTACAGAAGCTTTATGACTCGGTGGATCGAGAGCTGCTGTGGAAGATGCTGGCCAGGGCCGGGATTTCCGCGGAGACGATCACCGCCATCCGCCATTTCCACAACGGAATACAACGGAATGCGAGCCCGGGTGCGCATGGACGATGGAGAGCTGTCGGACTGTTTTTGGGTCACACAGGGCTTGCGATAAGGGCGTGTGCTGCCCCCGGTACTGTTCAACATCTTCTGCCCCGCGGCTCTCGAGGTCGTTGTCTCTCGATTCAGCGAGGAGGATGTAATTCTGCGGAACCTGGAGCACCTGGCGGAGGAGACGGGGGCGGGGCCGGGAACGCCACTTGACCAAGTGCGGAAGGCGGTATGGGGGATGCTGTATGCCGATGACGCCGGCGTTGTATCGAAGTCCGACGGCGGACTGGCGAGAATGATGACCAGTTCGGGCTAACGGTGTCGGAGAAGAAGGAGACACTCCTGATGCGCGTAAAGGAGGAGGAGCAGCCAACACCGCTCCCCCCACCGTCGCCGCTGATTATCGAAGCAGCGGGGCAGAGGTACACCCAGAGACTGAGTTCCTGCACCTAGGTGGCCTCGTCAACGAAAACGGCGACGTCACCCGGGAGATCAAATACAGGAGCAGAGCAGCGTGGGCGTGCGTCAGGAGATATGGCCGGGAGCTCTTCGACAGACCCAAAGCACCGTTTGATTCAAGACCCGCCTGCTCCAGGCGGGGGCGATGGAGGCGCTAGTGTACGGTTGCATGACATGGGCCCCATGTGGCGACCACTACTGGCTGCTGCGGTCGATACACCACCGGCCTCTACGAGTTTTGGGGTACCAGCGTAAGAAGGGCACTTACCGGCAACCCTCCTACGCCGAGACCCTGAAGAAGGTCTGGTGCCAGAGCGTGGAAGCCACTGTTTGGCAACGGCGCCTACTGTGCGCGAGAGCAATGGCAAAGCAGCCGGACCGGCGACTCCCGAAACGGCCCATGTTCGACGAACAGGTGGTGGGGGAGACCCAGGCAAGGGATGCCCGGAGCAGAACTGACTGACGTGCCAGAAGGGCGATTTCAAGGCGTTCAGGGCTACACACGAATCCACGGACGACCAGCCATGTGCGTTCGGAGTCCCGAAATTGGTTTGGACGGAAGCAGCGCGCGGGAGCGGGGGGCACCATGGCATACGGGGGTACGGAAAGGAACTGAGATGTTTATCATCGCCAGGCAGAAGGACGAAGAGGAGGATAGCCGACGACGAGCGCTCAAACGAGACAAGGAGATCAGCAACAGTACAGATATGACAACAACGAAGGGCGTGAGAGGGGGGCAGGAGACGGACGAGACGGCGAAAAAATATAATAATCGAGAAGAGGCATACCGCGTGGAGCGAAATAGGCCGAATTGAAATCCTTCGCTGATCCCCCCCCCTCCCCGTGATTGCACATCTGCATCAACCCCCCACGAGTGATGATAGCCTTGGCTGTTGCTGGTGGCCCTGATAGTGTCTGTTCGCTTATCATTGTGGCGTTTGCCTTTTATTTTTCTGTGTCTGTTTTTGTTAGTTTTTTGTAAATATTTCGTTTCCTACCTCGTTCCTCTTTCTTTTTCGTTTTCTATCTCTGTTGTCCTTTTCTTTTCTTCCCCGGATGGTCTTCTCTCTTTCTCTGTGCAGTACCAAGATTAAGATTGAACCAGGGGATGGTACCTCTCTCTCTGGCCCGTGATGTTGAACTCCAGTTCATTTCTGCGGTAGTGTAGAGGGGAGCGGAGGGCCCCAGACCATCCGTCGTTGTTTCGAGTCCATTTTATTTGAGTAAATTTATATCTTTCTTAGATAAGTTAGCCTACAGTTGACCACGGGAGTCGCTCGGTCAAGTGTTTGGTTAGTACGGACAGCTGAAGGTACTATGTAGAGAGATCGGAACGGTTTTTAATGTGAAGACAACACCACCAACGACAACAACAACAACAACAACAACAACAACAACGCACCCAGAGCAGCCCACCGCTGCCGCGCATCTCGGGTGACGGTCTCGAAGCTGTGTTGTTGATTTTTTCTTTCTCCCTTTCTTTTTTTTTTCCTGTTCCCAGGGCAGGCAAGGTGTTCAAGCTAGACGAGGCCAGATCCTGTGTCATGGACAGGTACCGGTACGTCAGAGAGCCGTGGTCGGCGACCCTGCGCTACCGCACTAAATCATTCCTCGAAGGTATCGGCGTCATACCGTTCATGAGCCCGGAGGAAGTCGCCGAGCTGGGGAGAATGAGAATCGCGCGGCGCAAGAAGAGGCGCATGCTGCAGGACGAGGCGGCGGCGCGGGGGGCCCTTGGTCCCCCACCAGTCCCGGTGTCTTTGGTGGACGAACCGCCTCTGGTAGCCACCGAGGGGGGCGAGGGCCAAGGCTGAAATCAGAAGCGGGAGATAGGCTGGAGGACGAGAGTCAGTTGGCTGGAGGCTGAACCGGAACCGATGAATGAAAAGCAGCGGCAGGAAGTGGAGCCTACGGCAGGGAACCCAGGGAAGAGCTCTGGGACCAGGACTGCTCAACATCACTGTGGGTAACACCTCGAGAGTCTGGAAGATCGTGCTTACTGTTTGAACTGAATCCGAACCAGTTCACGGCAGCAGCGGCAGCAGCAGGCGGCGGGAAGAGAATATTCGGTGTAACCGCCGGGAGCCGAAGAGAAGAGTTACCGGACAAGTACGGAGCGATGGCGAAGGCAAATCCGTGTGCATCCGCGATGAAGGGTATTCAAACGTGATCGAGCTTGTGGGTTTCTCCGTGGGTCGTTGGGTAGGTCGCATCCTGCACCCACTGCTTGCCGCCACAAGTGAGAAACGGGAAAAATAGATTGAGCGACGGCAGGCTTGCTGCTGGGGTCCCGGCGAGGCTAGATAGTAAATTATTCGGTGTTTTAGTATAGGGCAGCAGCGTGCTCGAATTACATGCGTCTAGGTGTTGCTGGCTGGAACCTTTGGTTTTGGTGCCGGTTGCGGTGTCTACCGACGTGAACTTGTGTATTGACTTCCAGTGTACCCGGGGGGACGGCGGGCATTGTCCCCCCCTATCCTTTTGGTTTAGCAAGTTCTCTTGCTGGTATTTCTGACTGCATCTTGTATAATTTTTGACTCTTACACCCTCTGTGGCAGTCTGATAGCTCTGCTCCCCTAGCGAAGAGGCTCGCGTGGGTGGGTTAAGGAAAACCAAACCTGTTGGAGTCACATAAGCAGGCTATTCCGGCCAGGCGCCGAGCGCACGTGCCCAAAGCATAGCGTTAAGACTCGCCTTTTTTTGCGCTCGCCTTTGTGGTCAATGCCTGTAGTGTCCCGCTGGGTGTCGTCCACGGCATTCGCTGGTATCGCGCATGGCATCTGCATTGGTAAGCATTGAAAGGGGGGCACGTAGCGTGCTTTGGGCGGCCTTCCCTGCGCGGTTTGTTCCAGGATATGACGACCTGGTCGGTACAACGGGAGTTATTTCGCATATCTTGTGTCTTTTGTCCTTGCCAAAAATCGTGCGAAAATGATATATCGGCTTCTAATGGGAGGGAGGTTGTCGTAGGAACGGTTTTATCAGTCGAGCAGCAACCACTGCGCGTTGTAGTTTTGCCAGCTCCATGTTCGTTTGACGGTCAACGGTTATTGAGCATGTGGTGTGTAGTTGTTGCCCGTAGTTGTCACCAAGCAAAGTGATTTAGGAGCGCCCCTCGTCGGCTTGAGACGCGACCGCCAAGTGTGTGTCTTGTTTGCCGCTTCGCGCCGTCTCCAGTTTCGGTAATCGGAGGCTGCGCCGCGGTGACCTTTTCAGTCATCGTTCAAAAGTTGTATGTCGCATGTATTACAGCGCCAAGAGTTCAAAACCAATCTGGTCCCCTCGTAGTCATAACTTTCTTCATCATTTGTGGCGCCAAAACAGAAAACGATCGCGCCACGAGAACCTATTTTGTGCTCCAAACAGTATTGCCAAAGTTGCCCAGTGTGATTAGATTGTGCCGGTCGGTATGCTTGTTTTTTCTCCCCCTTTTTTCCTTGTTGTTCAGTTTGTTTGAATATTTCCGTGTCGTGAATTTTAGACCTGCGGTAGCTCTCTTTATGTGTACGCTTCGAATTTACGAATGTGCCCCGTTTCGGGTGTGTAGTATCAAATTCTTTTTTATTAGCATCGTGCGCATGCTTTTCGTTAGCATCGGCCAAGCGAACTGGCTGACCAATTGGTTGAATGACGCCACCCCTGGCCGACAAAACACCCAAACGAGACGCCTTACAAGTCCATTAGGTAGGTCACCCGATGCGGGGGGGCGCACGGGAGGCTGGGCACAAGGAAGTCGGTGCAGGTATATTCTTTGTGTCCGTGTGTATTTTTTTGTTGGGATCGATCGTGCTAACCCGCTGATCGTTGAGATGGTATGTACCTACCTGTATTATAGCGAACGAAGTGTCAGAAGTGTCAACTGCGAACGAACACGCTTTCATTGGTCATGGGTGATCTCCTATTTTTGGCGTTCATCGCAACAATTTTCCCGCCGGTACACGAGTTTTTTAGAAGGGGCTCAACCTACAACTGTAGACTTAACTTGTAAATTTCCGCGTGCGCATCATACTTAAACTCTCTCCGTCGTCCCCCTTTCTTTACATTCCGCAACAAACAAGTTGATTTATTTGCGTTGTCTACATACAGACTTTCGCTACGTCGACATCTCAGTCACCAGGGCACGAGGTCGAGACTCTGATATTGCCGGTGGAGATTGAGGCAGAGTTTAGACCACGATGGTCGCTACTCGCAGACGGTTCGTGGGGGGTATACTCTTGTCGTGCTGATGAGAATATATGATGAAAAGTGTTACGATCGTCGGAAGATACGACTTCGATTTAACTCGTTGGTGAAGATGTGGTTGGTGTCCTGGTACCTCTTGAAGTTTGCACCTCGTAGTTAGCACCTTGTGACGGTAGAGTTGCACGAAGTAGGCACGTTGTATCGTTGGGATACTGTACGTGTATGCATCCTGGGGGAGATTTACCTTCACCATGCTACCTGCATTGTATGCACCTGTGCACTTGTCTCTTGTGTGTGTGGCGAGTGTGTGCTTGGTGTGTGGGCAGCGGGGGCACACAATAAAACATGAACCATTTAACAAGGTCCCCCCCCTCCCACTATTGCTCATCAGAGAGACCCCTATTGTCTTTCGCTGCTCCGAAGTCCTGCTGTGGCTGTGTCGCTCTGTCCTGTTATTTGATTTGTCGCTGTGTCGACTGCTGCTGCCCGGCTCTATCCAGTCAGCCAGAAGAAACGAAGGCACCATGCGTGATGGGAAGGGTGAAAACGAGTTCCGTGTCGTGGTAAGTGGTACGTTTGAGTGTGCTCGTCAGTGAGTTGGCTGTCAGAAGGAGACACACCCTCCTCTCTCCCGTGATATGCGTTGTATATAGAGTCGTATGCGGTCTGTGGCGCCTCTACTGCTGTCTAGCGATGGCACGTGTGCGGCCACAAACATGCGATGCCCACCCTCTCCGCATCTCCTAACACTGGAGTACAGCAGTGCCACTCTCTCCCGTGTGCCGTTTCCTGTTGTTTTCGTGCTTCCAACTGATGCCGTGAGCTACACAGCAGTCTGGCACATTCGCGCCCCCCTCGCGCGCTGCCATGATTTGAATTTTAAATTGATGAGATGGAAGTCCCTTGAAGTTTATGTCGCTCGGGGAATGATCACAGCAGTACTACTGTAGTTAGCGCCTCCGCTAACGCTAGGTTTCGTTGTTACTCTATCCTGTGCTCTCGTCTGTGGGTAGAGATGGATTCGTTGTGTTACAGTACAAGAAGGTGTAGCGTTCAGTCTGCAAGATTCGGCGAATTGTGTGAGTCTGTGAGTCTTCGGCAGCGATGAATAGGATGCACAGACCAGTTTGGACCGCTATGCGTTCTGCCCTGTCAGTAAACTAAAATTATGCAGGAAGTCTTATGTGAAAGGACCCACCGGACTCAGGTAAATGCGTGGTTACCCTCGCACATGTGGTACTGCTGCCGATTGTAAAACGCCCGAAAGAGACATGCACAGCAGCCTACCTTTGTCATGGAGCAGACAGCAGTAGTCTATTGTACGAAAAAAAAAGAAAAGAAAAGAAAGATTTTTCTTTTTGGCTGCAACCAACCTGGTACATCTTTGCTGTAGATGGGGCAGGGTAATGAGCCGCGGGGTAGCCGACCCAATACCTTGCGGTAGTCTATGTCTCTGCGATGCTTTGGGGCGGATCATGTCGACTATTGAATATTGAATCCGAGTCATCAACAACAAAACAATAGCAGGCTCCTGGAACGAACGGCGGTTGGCGTGTGCATACCATCAGTACCGTAGGTGACTGCTGTACGCTGTAGATGACACAAAATACAGTACCACACCCCCCGGACCATTTTCAAGGATCGGTTGCCCCACACCACAAAGAGTGGCGGTGCCGATAATGGTGATGCGGGAACCGTCTCGGCGAGAGCTTTCCGACAACGTCTCGCTGGGTGTACGCATCCTCTTCGACTGGAGTGTGTTGTGCGTATGTTTTCGTCCTTTTTATTATGGCGACAGCAGTTCTCCCATTTTAGTGTGTGCCTTAGTCTACACGTGTTTCGTGTGTCTTGATGAGTACTACTTGCACTTTTCTGTGTATTTTTTCGCACAACTACAACCATCCAGGGTCACGCAGGAGGGGGTAAACACCGGGGCTATTTTCTTCTTTCTTCTTTCTTCTTTTTCTTTTCATGCCCCACCTTCCTCCTGCGGTGCGTGCTGAAAATTATTTTTTATCGAGAAGGGTCCAGCCGTCCTTTTCCCTCGTCAACGGTTCTAACGTCGAAATTTGGCACTCACGAGCTTTTGCAGCTATATAGCTTTCATCCGCAAATTGGTAATTTTTCACCCCATGGGGAATCGAACTCACAACTTTGCGACTCGCGGTTTCGAGGTTACCACTTGACCACCGGGGCGAGTACAGTGTACTCGAGCTTCAAAAATCGGTACAGGGGGTGGGATATCTTGTGTCACGTACGATAGACGTCATACGTACGTTCCCCCACCGATTTGGGTTTTCGGTGGTTTCTCTGCACAGAGTGACGCAGCAGCAGCTGTACAGCGCTATTCCCCGCGAGCTGTGGCTGCTACCCCTGATCAAATGCTTTTTTGTCCTGGGATATACGTGAGCCGACAAGCTGCGTTTGTTCGTGGTGGCTACAGGGAACATGAGAACAGCACACACCCCAGCTTGGTCAGATGAAAAAAGGACGACTCGCAGCGGTTATTCTTGCCGGCGCAGCCTTGTAATATGGTGAGAAGTGACTTCGACACCTGTTGCTAGCGTTCTGGGTGGCGATACAGCACTCTCACTGTTCTGCCTGACCTTCCGATCTCGGAAAGCCTAAATTGAGCGGCAGTCTTTTTTCGGCGAACGTTCTTTTCAGGCTTCCGTGATAGCGAGCCTCCGTACCTTACCCTCGCTTTTAGGTTTCGGAATGCTATTCTTTTGTGTTCGCTGGAAATATGTTCCCCGTGGTATGTAGGCCTTACGTCTACGTTGCCGCTGCCCGTCATTTCCTCATCTCTTGGTTTCTACAGGTGGGCGGCCAGAAGCTCGAAGAGATCAGCCACAAGGACGGCAAGACGTACATCCAGATGATGCTCTTGTAAGATCACCTTTGCGTGCGTTGCTACAAGTAGTGCAGTGCTTTGAGTGTGTATGGGTGTTGTGGTAGGCATGTTGGAATCGTTCATTTGTTAATTTTTTTTTTCACAGAATAGGCGATACTCCAAGGCACCGCGCATATGTTGCCTGTGCCTCTGATATATTTTCATTCATCCCGGCATATATTCCAGGCATTGATGGAGCACGGCGTAATGTCAGGTGGGTCATAGGAAGCTTGTTTTGAAGCAAGACAACACACCCGTGGCGACGAAACGCTCGAGGGTGAGGTGGAGGTGCCTATTGTGCACGTCGCAATTTATTTCCTCCGCTTAGTGCAAGGGGTTCGCAAAAGTGAAACACTCGACAGCCGAAGGATCCTGTGGCAAAATCCCTGCGGCTCTGCGTGTTTAAATGAGCGACACGCGCACGCATTGGCATTCTTACCAGAGCACGTAGGCGGCGAGTCACTTCCCGACAGATTCCCGACAGGTTGCCGCACACTCATCACACAACCTTCCCTCTGCCAACACGAATGAGCCACCCCCCCCTCTGCTCCGCCTCGAAAGCGATGATGCATAATCTCATTCAAACGCACCCCGGCATTGCCACCCCCCTCCTGTTCTCCATGAAGCTCCAAGGTTTCCTACGGCGTCGTCTACACGGAAGAGGTCAAGGGGCTCGGCGCTAGGGAGAGCAACACTCAAAAGTGGCCCGTGGTGAGTACCTTTCGGAGGTAGCCATAGAACCATCGTTCACAAACAATGCATTATTGGCTGATGCGTACATTTCAGCGAAACCGCTGACTCCCCCCCATCCTACAAGCTACTGCTGTGAAGGACGTGGCGTAGTACTGGTCTTTGTGACCATTGTGCGCATTGAACCGCGGCTTTTTTTCTGAAAGCTCGATCGTCCTCTGCACACCTTGCGTGCGCGCTACCATGTTTTTGTGCCCGGGGCGCTGCGCGCGTGTATGCCTACTAACTGGCGTGGAACACCATGCACGCTGTCCTCAACAACTTCGAAACAGAGTCCGTACACGGTGGCCGTGCGGAACAACTCGGGCAAAGGAAACTTCGCCCAGCTATACGTCGACGGCCAGAAGGTCAGCGGAGTACTACTTCCATCTGTGTGGCATGGGATTCTCCCTCTTGAAGCGCGTGGCGCCGTGGTAGTAAACATGCTGTGGGTGGCGTCCTTCGCCCGGTCGCACGCACACGAGCTGTCCAGCAAGCTCTTGTTTTCGGTCACGGGCACTGTGTTGTTTCGGCAACCAATCCGCGATTGTCTGAGCTGGCGATGAAAGAACGACCTACAGCGCGGTGTCTGCCTTTGGTTTCGTTCGTGTGCGAACTACGCGCACGTTGTCTTTGGGTTAGAGGGACTGGCAACGGGCGCTGACACAACGGCGGTGAGTATCGCTTCGCCCTGAGGCGGGGGACGTTGTACCCCCCGGCAATCCTTTGTATTTCAGCGCTCCAGACACCCCTCGAAACGACAAAATTATATTCCCCAACCTTCAAATGGCAGCGAAACGGCGTACAACCTCCCTCCCCAGAACCTGAACCACTTCGAATGTCATCTAGGATTTTCCAGAGTTAAAGCAAGGGATTGATACGAGCTCGGGTCTCTTGCTCTTCTCCGAATCCGTCTATGCGGAACAGGTCGCGGAAAAGTACGTACCCGCCGGCGACAGCGTCATTTTTGAGGGAATCCCTACGGAAGAGGGCATCCAAGAGCTGCTGTTTTCCCTACCCAGGTGTGTAGCAACCCTATGTGAATGAAATGCACACCCGATTTGCGCCCACATTGCGGTTCTTAAATGTTTTTTTGGCACGACGATGTTTTGTTCAGGATGAGTACGGTCAAGGGCTTGGCCTCCATGTGCGCCGAGATAGCGCGCAGACCGGGGGTGCGACGACTGCTTCAGCGACACGAGCGTCCAGCAGTGTGTGCCGTTTTTATTTTTCTGATACCGTTCGGTGAAGGCGAGGAACCTGTGCAATTGCCCCGGCTGTTATGTCGGTTCACATTCATGGGTGACGTCGACGCCATTTTTTTCCCCAATTGCAAAATTGGGGTTTGAGCCAGCGCAATTCCGAAAAAAGCAATAAAGAAATCCTGTCCGAAATTTCGATACTTTAATCGAGTAAAAAAACTGACAAAAATCCATACTTTAATCAAGTAAAAAAACTGATCGAGATCCATACTGTATTCAAGTGAAACATGTAATGGAAATCGACACATTTAACAAGTGAAAGCATGTAATCACTTCTATAGTTACAACAAGTCAAACGTTGTCACACTTTTTGCTTGCTTGAGAGACGCTCAAGGAATTGGAATCGTTTATATATGTCAAGCGTTCTAAACTCACTGTTTTGGTCTACGCCAACATGCACAAAAGCGTCATTTCTCGCGTTATTCCTCTTTTCGGACCAAACAACAGCAGCAGCACCGGCCCCAGACACAACATTCACCACTACTGCTGCGTGTGTCCATTGTTATGTGCTCCCACAAGATGTCGTGCGTTCTACACTGACTGCTGTCTCCCACCACGAGCGTGCAATCTCGCTGCAATACAGCAGCAGTACTGCTGTGCGCAGGCGTGGGTCTGGATGAAAGCTTGTTGTCGCGATGATGGCAGCGACCCCAGCGCAGTACTGCTGTGTGCAGGCGTGGGTCTGGATGAAAGCTTTTCCCCACCAGACAACAAACAACATTGCACACTAATGTACAGCTGTGTGTGCTGTGTGCTCGCACATGTGCTCCCACGCTACTGTGTGCTGCCACACACTGGGGTGTCGACACGCTGGTGTCAGCAAGGAGCGAAACAACACCAACAACGGCCTTCATGTGTGTTCCGCGACTCACCGTTTTGGCTGCGTTGGCCTGTCCCAACGTGCACAATCTTTTCGGACAAAACTTCTACAGCATCACAGGCTTCTGTGCACTCACCACTAATCGTTTATATATGTCAAGCGTTCTAAACTCACTGTTTTGGTCTGCGCCAACATGCACAAAAGCGTAATTTCTCGCGTTTTTCCTCTTTTCGGACCAAACAACAGCAGCAGCACCGCCCCCAAACACAACATTCCACACTACTGCTGCATGTATCCACTGTGTCCATTGTTATGACTTTGCTGTGTTTTGGGGTGTCGACACGCTGGTGTCAGCAAGGAGCGGAACAACACCAACCCACATGTGAGGGGGCACGCGAACAAACAAAGCGTTACGCAAATTACGCAAGATCGTGTTCGGATGTCGTCGCCCCGCACATACATCCATATCACGACATATTATGGTGTGCCGCGTCGACCGTGTCTGTTCCCCTTGCAATGCCCCCTAAGAAGAAAGCCAAGACAATTTGTGGCACGAACGACAAGGAAAGAACCCGCAACTTTTTCAGCGCCCAAAGTAGTAACGACGAGAAAACCGGTAAGGTTCCCCACCACCACCATCTCCCAACGGATCTTATTCTTTTGGAGCAACCACTCCGCGCCACGCGTGCGTCCGTGCGTGCGCGCTTTTTCCCCGGGTCAAAAAAAATCAATTGGGGAAGCAGCCGTGGGCACACGGCAATCTATGTGTTATCGGAGTTTCCCTCCTTGGCCGGTACGGCGTTACGGCGAGAAAGGCGTACGTGGGCCCGCCCATCCCACAGCGTCTCCATGAGCTCAAGCAGCTTTAGATGGATCACCAAAGACCACTCACTCGTGATATACTTGTTTGCTTGTCTTCTTTGCTGTGCACTACTCACGTGGTTCACTAGATGGCCGCTGCAGAAATGAGACGGTGGACGATGCGATACCACGATGATGAACACGCCATGTTGGAAGGCACGGCGGTTGAAGTAGTCGCAAACAAAGTCTGGCCTGCCTCTGTTCTCACTTGCTTGAGCTCTTTATTTTTTGCCTCTCCGCGCGGAAGGTACACCACCCTGAGGGAAAAGGAAATCGGTGGACAGTCACTGCCGGACGCAGTAGCGAGCGAGCTCGGGACGATAAAGGTCGTGTGGCGCGACTGCGCCTTGGTCGGCAAAGAGTGAGTGATTTGTTTCGTTGTTTAGGTTGCTTGTATCGTCAAGCACATCCACACCGGCGCAGATGGCGACGGTGTACAGACCCGTTTTGCTCTTCAATCTGGCAATTTGTGGAGTTTCCTCTGCTCTCGTGGGTTGTGAGAGGCAGCAAGTAGCACTCGCCCTCCCCTCTTCGCCGGTGTCGGAAAATACAGCGAGGGATACGGAGGCCACTGGTGCTGGACCCAATGGTATCTCAGGTAGCCAACCTGGCCTGGTAGGTGTTGCGCAGAAGCGATCCCGGGCCAGCTCTGCCTCTCCTTTGAAGCTAGACGTGCCTTACCGACAACATTGTGTAGCTTGTGGTCGGAAACGACGGCGGCTGGCTTGGTTTTGTCTCCGAATGGCGATGTTGCTGAAGTTGGAACAGCTCCCTCCATCGTCCATAACAAAGGCGTAGGTTCGAAGGGTGCCACGCAAGAGTGTACCTAAAGCAGGCAACCCCCCCTACCGTGGTAGGGCCGAGCTACGTTGAATCAAACATGCGTGCGTTCGAGGGTGTGTTGCCTTCTCTCTATCTCTTTCTGCCGCCTCTTGACCATCGGCAAACGTGCAAAATGTACTGTACGATTCTCCTTCTCTATGTAGTTTCGCTAATATCCCTGCGTGTCTGTGTCGCCGACGAGTTTACCTTTCGTGAGCTACGGAAGTAGTTTAACGCTACCTTCGTTCTCTGCGCTGTTCTGCCTGTTTCTCTCCCCACCCCGCCCACCCCGCCCACCCACCCCTTTTCGCAGTTTCGCGGACAACTACCGAACGTACGCAGCGGCGAGCTCCTACAAGCAGGCCAACAAGACCGACGCCAAACGCACTGGAGGCGCAGGGGCGGGAGCAGGGGAGGGGGAGAAGTTCGCCTCTACCACAAGGTTGGCGACAAAACGAACATATCCGGGTGCCCACTTTTCCCGCTTTCTCCCGTACGCATAGAGGAAAAATAGAGGAAGAGCTGCGTTAGGCGTGGTTTGTTTGCCTCTCCGGTTGCGACGGCCACGGTGGCGGACGTGGTGGTCGTGGTTACGGGGGATACCACACGCGCTTCTGTTTGGCGTTCCAGGCGTGATTATGGTGGTGAATTAATGGGGATTGCTAGGGCGACTACCACCAGAGGCTTTGCAGAGTACCGCGGAGTTCATCACAACGAGTGTGGTATCTTCACAACAAGTGTGGCATCCCCCGCCACCACGACCACCATGGCTGTTCGCCACCCCACGTCCCGCGCCACCGCCGTTGCCGCGACCGGAGCCATACGCGAAGAAAGCACATGGTTGCACGCCCGCTGTTATCGCTTGTTTATTTAGCGTCGACTCTCACGTTACAACATTTCACCTACAGGAGTCCGCCGCTGTCGCGCATCTCGGGCGACGGTCTCAAAGCTCTTCTTATTTTCTCCCCTATTTTGTTCTTCCGCACCCAGGGCGGGCAAGGTGATCGGGATGAACGAGGCCAGATCCTGTGTCGTGAACAGGTACCAGTACGAAGGGGAGCCGTGGTCGGCGACCCTTCTGTACCGCACCAAAGACTACCTCGAGAAGATAGGTGTGATACCCAAGGATACGAGCCCGCAGGAAGTCGCGGAGCGGAGGAGGAAGAGACTCGCGCGGCGCAAGAGGCGCAAGCTGCAGGAAGAGGCGGCGGCGGGGGGAGCCTTCGTTCCCCCGCCAGTCCCGGTGTCTCTGGTGGACGGGCCGCCTCCGGTAGCCGCCGAGGAAGGTGAGGACGAGGGTTGAAATCAGAACCGAGAGACAGACTGCAGGACGAGACAACTTGGTTACTTGGTTAGAGGCTGATCCGGGACCGATTAATGAGCAGCAGCAGCTGCGGCAGGGATCACAGGCAAGAGCTGTGGAACCAGGACTGCTGAGCAGCGCCGGGAGTAACACCTACAGCACCGAGAGTCAGGAACATGGTGCTTGATGTTTGAAGTTGAAACAATACCAGTTGAACGGGACCAGCAGCGGCAGCAGCAGGAGAGGGGCAGAGAATATTCGTGGCAATCTTTGGAGAGCCCAAGAGTAGAGCAAGCATTGAGCGACGGCGAGATCAAAAGGGTGCATGCTACCGGAAGGAGTTTTGGGCCAGAGGGCGGGAGAGACACCGACGTCATCCGGCTTCGTCTCCGTTGGTTGTCACGTAGGTCGCATCCTGCACCCACCACTTCCCTCCTATCCCGCCGGCGAGAAACGGGGAAGAAAGTAGGTTGGGGGACTGCAGGAGAGGGGGCTTGCTGCCTGATATCCCGGCCAGGCTCGTAACCTATTCGACGTTGTGGGGCAGCGCCGTGCTCTGTCTAGTTACTGCTGTCGGGAAATTCTTGGTTTTGGTACGATTTGCTGTGTCCGTTCGCGTGAAGTTGGGGCTCGTCTCTCTGTCCAGTTGTCTGGACTTACAGTGTACCAGGGGGTACGCGGGGCATTATCCTCCCCTATCCTTGAATGATGCACTTGGTCATTCGTCTGATCGCGTCTTGATCTTGAGTCTGGCGCCCTCGGTACCTTGATAGCTGTTCTCTCCTGGCGAAGAGGCTCGTATGGGTCGGATAAGGGACCAATCTGTTGGAGTCACGCAAACAAGCTCTTCTGGCCAGGTGTCGAGCTTGCGCGCGTGCTCAACGCATAGCGGTAAGGCTTGGCTTTTTCGTCGCTCACCCTCTGTGGTCGATGCCTCTGTACTCCCGCTGCGTGTCGTACACAGGGTGGTAGTCACTTATCGTAGCGCGCATGGCATCTGCACTACTTGGCTTTGAAAGGGGGTGTGGTTGGTGCAGTCTTCCCGATAGCCACGACCCGGTTCGGAACAACGACGATTTTTCGCAAATATTTCCTTTTGTCCCCGCTGAAAATCGTGCGAAAACTCTATCTCGCCTTCGATGGGATGGGGTTGCCGTAGGACGGTGTTGTTGTGCGCGTTCTTGTTAGCTCCACGTTCGTTTGACGGTTAACGATTTGGGTTGGGCGTGTGTACGTTGTGGAATTGTTTTGTGTAGTTGTCGCCATGCAACACGTAGTGTAGGAGTGCCCCTAGTAGACTTGAAAGGTGACGCCTCGTTCTGCCGCTTGCACCATCTAAGTCTCGGTTCGAAGGAGGCGGCGCCGCGGCAACCCTTTCAGTCAGTCGAGAGCCATGTGTGTGTGTTTCTTCTAGCGTTTAAGATTTGAACTGTAGACCACTTTCGCCCCCCCCGCGTAGTCTGAGAGTCCCCATCATTGCGGCGCCAACAGAGAATCGGATGCGATCGTGCCACGAGAGAACGTCCATGAAGTTGGTGTTTGTGTGTGCCGCAAATAGTGTCACCACGTGTTCCTTCGTGTACGTACGTATCTGTTCTGCATGTGTCGGGAAGGTTGGTTTGTGTGATTGCCTTCTTCGCCGTTCGTTACGCCCGTTTGTTTTTTTCTCTCATTTTTCGATTTTCAATCAGTTTGGTTATCTGAGTAGCTTCGAATGTACGATTTTTTTTTTTTGTGTGTCTTCACTTCAAACCAGCGCTCACAGCACTATTAATAGTGCCGTTTACTCCAACCCGTGGTCACACAGAAGAGCCCTTCTCTACCCTCCCCTCCTGCGGTACTTTGCCTTGTTAATGTTCGTTTCGGGCGTGTTTTACCATACACCTGGTTTGCTTAGCATCCGCCTCGTGTGTTGTGATTTAGTTTGCATAGGGAATAAATAGTCTTGACACGTTGAGTATAGGGCTTGGCTACGGGAGGGTTGAACGGGGTTTGTTTGCGAAGTGCAATACAACGCGCTAATTATGTGTATTCTATATATACAGATGGCGCTCGCACTTAAGAACTTCGCAGTTAAGAAATGCAGCCTCGAAAAATTCAAAATTTAAGAACTTGGTCGTAAGAACACGTGCTCAGTTCCGGCGTGGTATTAAGAACACGAACCCGTATTTTGTGGTTTCACAAGCGCCTTCGGATAAGAACAGACTCCCCAAAAAGTGGCAGCTGCAAGAGAAGAACTCATGAAGGTGGTGAGGGGTGACTGACGGGGTGTCCGGTGACCCCACCCACCGGCAGGTAGGTTCAGATCAGCGACGAGGAGGGGGATCTCCGTTTCAAATAATAAAATAATAATGGATATTTTTTGCTGTTTTTATTGTTTCTATATTTTTAGCACCACCTATGCCACGCAATTGTTTCGGTTTGATATTGCTAGTTTTTTTTTACACTCCGCGCCACGCGTGCGTCCGTGCGTGCGCGCTTTTTTTCCCGGTTTGTTTCTCAGCCGTCTTACATAGCTGCCTCCCCTTCTTTACGGCGTGGTCTCATTCCGTTGTAGTATGTACGTTTCCCTTATTAGCTGTTGTTGTTATCGTCTTCCTTTCTTTACGATTGATGCTGATTTTTAGGGGTTCTTTTCACGCAAGCAACTCGGTTTTTCCATTTGCCTTTTTTTTCTTCTTATATTATGCGTATTTTTGCGGTTGGTTCGGAGATATCATCTGTTTTTTTTTCGCACCACGCTTGCTTGCGTGCGTGCGTTCCTTTTTCCAGGTTTTATTCGCGGGCTTCCGTTCCACACTCTACTACTACTGCTGCTGTGTTGTTACTCCTGTATGCAGTGCCGGCGTTGTTGTTCGAATTCATTCAGCAAAAAATGGGTCAAAAAATCAAATGGGGAAGCAGCCGTGGGCACACGGCAATCTATAATAAAATAATACTGGTGCGGAGGGGGGGGGGCGGGGCGTACTCTTATGTTTTGCATATCTTAGTGGTTAGACCATTGGCCACGCGTCCTCAAGAGGACGGAGTGTTGTTCCCACAGGACACCAAATACCGATGGCCAATCGTTCCCTCTTACTTTACCAAAAAAAGGCGTCTCACAAACGGTGTGCCTATATATCTGTCCTATCGATATTACGTCCCGCCTCTTCAACCCACGTGCTATGCCCCGAACAGCTACCTAGCTGGTATTCCATGCCTCAAACATCTCCCTGCATCTTCTAATACTTTCCCCAATGCTCAGTCACATAAAATCTCCTCTCCTTGTACAACAGACATTCCGCAACTACATGGAACCCGGTGTTCGCACTCGGAGCCGCGTTCACATTTTGCCCTAACAGTTGACCTCATGGCAGGGTGTTGTATTTGTGCAAGTCGGATCTCTTTAAGAGATCCGACTTGCACAAATACAACACCCTGCCATGAGGTCAACTGTATTCCAGGGTAAGTATGAGGAAGCCGAGCCAAAATTCAAACGCTGTTTGGCTATCGACAAGAAAGTAAGTGTACGGTCCTGATCGTCGCTACAGACCTCAAATGGGCGGAGTTGTTGAGAGTACCGGTGAGAGCCGCCAGAACGTTCCAATAGAGTTCTCTTGGCGCCCTGTGGTTGTACATGATGGTGCTCAGCAAGCAGGCGGGGTTGTTGGAGAGGAAGGTGAGAGCCAAACGATGCTTCTAGATGTTTCTGGAACAAACAACGTATTCCTCCTCTGGGTGAACGAAACGGTTTTTTACCCCCACGTGTTCAGACATGCGGTGTTCGTACTGGTCAAGTTTCCACAGGGGAAGTACATGGAGGCGATTGCACTGTTGGAGAAGGCCCTAGCAATCCGTACGAAGAAGCTTGGGGAAATCCACCCAAACACAGTCAGCACTCGGAACGACCTGGAAGTTGTGCGAAAAAAGGTTCGTGCAAAGCTGGGCGGTCGTGTAAGAAAGCCTCATGCACCATGTATTGCGCGAAAGGCCTGACACTGCTCAAAATGAGTTTATCCCTGTTGCAGGTTTGAAGACGAGATCGAAGCAACTGCCTACGACAGCGGTCGGTCGCCGCAAACGCGTGAACAAGACAGGGACAGGAAAATTGCGCCAACTGTGACGGTGACTGTGGTGTGGAACAGTTACTGCATTTCTCGTTGATCGAAATGATCGTCCGTCGACGGTGCTTTTTCGCTTCTTTGCGTTGAACCGGGCGTAACACAGTGTTTTCGTTCGCGTGGGGACCATCCTTTCAGGGCGGTGCGTCTCGTAGTCGTGGGGCAACGTGCTGAAAACACAACCAACCATAAGGTTACCTGGCGTCCGAGTGTTTCGTATTCTTCTTGAGAGATGCCAAGCGTTGCCTTGAAACTTAGTTATGGAATTATTTTTGGTCACGCCCGCTGTGTAGTAGGTACATGCAGCATTATGCCGCAACGACTAACTGTTTTGCTTCGCATCGGCGCGTAGCAGGTGCAGTTTATTCGGGCCTTTGTCGCGAGTGAAGGGGCGTTCGTGTGCGTGATTACAAAAGTTGTTTTCAACTACCTCTGAACCGAGCAAGCTCAGCGTCTATGAGCGGGTTGCTCTGAAGGTTGAGACAACAGCGAACACCATGATATTACCTTCCAGAACTCAAGAAGTATAATATTCGTAATCTCTCTTCTCCAAACTCTAGCCAAGGGTACCAGCCCTCACACACACTCTTGCATATCGCAGCTCTGTATATCGTGCGTAAACAAACGCGTTTTCCACACTTTTGCCTACACGATGAATACCTTCAAACGCACACATTACTAAACTGTTCCGCACTGACGAGGAGCAGGCTGTCCAAGCGTGGTAACCAATTCTCACCCTTCTACAACCAACTCCTCCTGTTTTGTTTGCTTTCCCGAAAACGAACAAAGATTGGGCGTGGGGCAGAGGGGTGAGCGGAAGGGCTCAAATTGATTCATGGGCCTTGCGGCGATAACCCAACGGAGCGTACCCCAGGCGAATCTCCCGTTACCAGTGAATGTGACAAGTCAAGATCCAAAGCCGCGGAGCGCCAGATAGCCAAGGAGGAGGTGTTATCCTTGAGATTCACATAAGTGCATCGTCGCCCCCTTGATCCTTCTCTCGTCTCTCCCCTCCCCTCTCCTGCCATGTCAAGCAGCAACCGCGTCTGGTTCCCAACGACACAGAACAACAGACGGTCTGTGTTTGACTCTCCCCATTCTGGCTCAGGTTCTACCAGGGGCAACCAAGTCTTCATCTCATCGCCCCCTGCCAAGCATCGGTCCCGCACGCCTTCACAAAGCAGCAGACTTTACGTCGATCGAGGCTACCGGGGGTGGGGAGTTGTCTTCCATGACGGGGACGGGGGGCGGGGACGGGCCGCCCTGCAGCTTGGCCTTCTTCCGCCGCCTCGCGCGCTTCGCCTTTCGCTCGGCCTCCTGTGCCGCAGTTTCGTTTGTTCCGAGGACGCCAATGTCCTGTTTTTTCGTTCGCGAAAATCAGAGTCCGGGGGAGGGGGGGAAGAGAGACATATTCCAAAAGCTCAGCCGGTTAACGCGGTCGATGCTACATACGTACACACGCACGCAGACATACGATGAGGAAGCAATCACGGCGCAGACACAGCCAGCCAGCCAGCCCCTAGATAAAGAGGCAGACGGAGAAAGCAAGGCGCACGCACAGAGAGAGAGCGCCAGGAGCAAGAGGTTGGCAAAGAGGGAAGGTACGATTGCTGCTTGCTCGCGCGGCCTCTTTTCCTTCTCAGGAACCACCAAAAGCTTGACGCTTCCGATGCCACAAGCTGGTGTTGGTGGGAGCGAGCACAACAAAACATGTCGAGCTAGGAACGGCGACGTGGGGTGTTCGTATCGAGTGGGAGGAAATTCTGCGGCCGGGTGTTTCTGTTCCATGGCGGCGCGTCAATGGCCGTGGTAGGAAGAAAACGGAACATATTTTCACCCCAACTACCCCCGCAAGGTTCAGGCCCAAAGGCCGAGCAACCAACGCTGGCCTAGCAGAAACATAATGACCCTACCAACTACCGCCTGCTGCCAAGTCAAACGCCCCAGTCTGTGCCGCTTGCTACCAGTAGATACCATCATTTCCCCTATTATCTCCGTGAACACCCGCGTGTCGACGAGTAACTCGGTGCCGACCCTACGACTCCTTTAGCCCGTAAAAAGGGATGGTCACCGCCGTCTCCCTTGCTCGGACAACAGCCGTTCGCATAAACATCGCTCCCGTTGGGTTTTTCCCTCAGTTTTCGACGGAAATCGCATTCCCGCTTGGCACGCACGAAATGAATTACATCTCTTCCCCGCCACCTGGACCCCCTGCAAACTATGCTTGCATGGACCCTGTTCCTTGCTTGCCTGTAAGTGGTGTTCTGTGCGGTACAACAAGCGCGCTTCCCACGGCTCTCCGACGGTATCGAACCTCGTCACCGTGCAGGATCTTGCCTCATTCAGCCGGAGGACCTTGCCTGCCCTGAGGACGGAAAGCCAGGTGGTTACATGGGAGTGGGTCGGGGGTGCAGGGGGGTAGGAGGGGGCGACACGGGGCCAAGGGGCGGAGACAGAATCGCTCTCGGAATTGATTACTCCAGACAATCGGAGAACACTCTAGATCATTTAAAACAGAACGAGTTGGGGAGAGCGCACAATACTAAGAACAGACGGGCTTCGGAGTAGGCATACGGAACGTGTGTCCGATAGAGTGCCTACCCCTGGGGAGAGTAACGAGAGCACGCCAGTCAAATAGCTGAGAGCACACACCCCAGTTGATGCAACAACCGGCACAGCCGTTAACGACACCCCCTACAACTAGCAAACACAGCGAGGGTGCTAGGAGAATGCGCGCCGGGGGGTGTATGTCCTTCATACCGCAAGCTTGCCGCCATTGGGCACGGAGCAGTCGCACCCGCGTTTGCGATCGCTGCATCTTCTGGTGCCGTATGGGGAGCAGGGGGTTGGGGGTGGATTGTGGTGGATGCACCCACCGGTGCCATAGCTCCACGGCTCACTTGCACTGAAGGAAAACGGTGAGAAACTGATTGCTTTCACCTTGGGTATGGGGGAGGGGGAGGGATAACTTACACAACGCTAGCGACGGAACCCCCTTGTCCAACGGGATGCGTGCGGTCAACGGACGCTTATTAGATGCCAAAACTGACAACCACATGGCATCCCGCCCGGCCCCATCAACCGCAAAGACTGCGTACTGCTACATGACAGACGAAACCCTTCCAGCAGGGTTCAATAGACAACAGCTCCGGTAGCCACGTGCCTGGTTGTGGACGCGAAGGCTTTCTCGCTGCTGCCCCCTCCTGCACCTGCTCCCGTCGCTTTCGCGTCCGACTTGTTCGCTTGCGTGAACGAGGTCGTTGAGTACTCCTGGAAATGGGACGAGAACCTGCAAGACAAGAGGGAGACAGACAGACAGACAGATAGATAGACAGACAGACGGACAGAGGCAGGGGGGACGAAACGACGGGGGTGAGTAACACAGGACCGGTGTGTGTAGGGGAGGGGGGGGCGGAGGGTTGGAGTCGGAGGGGGCGGGGGGCAGAGACGCGCAAAGCGAAAATAACGGTGTAGGTGTGCAACGAGAGCGACCGGGAGGGGCAGGCCAGGGGCGCAAAAAGAACATCGGCCACAAGGCGGAGAGGGGGCTGAGGGGGCGTGTACTCAGGCACAAGGCACTTGTCGCAGAGAATATGCCAAACAACCTCGCACAGCGTTGCACCAGCCGACAAGCGCCCTGAGGCATTCATTCCTTTTGCCTGAAGATTCACAACACCCCCCGCTAATCGTTCACGAGACGGGCTTGGGGCGCGTCCATGACTGGGGTGCTTGGCGTGACCGGTTCCTTGCAAACCAGTACGCCGTGAAACGCCACCTGGAAAGCCCACACTCCTGCTGCCGATACCTGACTCGATAACTCGCAGGGTTGAAGGTGTTTCGCCAAATCAGCGTTTGTTGCCCAAACATAGCCCAAAAGCACCCGTAAAAACATTTATGCGGGGAAAAAAGAGAACGGGCGAACAACAGCAACAACAACAACGACGACGACAGCAACAGCACCGACTGCCATCTGCGCGCGGAGAAAGGAGGGCTCGCTCACCCCGTGCCGGTCTTCACACAGTCGTTCCACACAATCTTGACCGCCCCAATTTCACTCGTGCCTGACTCCTTCAGCGCCCGTCCGCCGCTGTTGCCCTGCTTTTCCTTCAAAGTGGTAAACCTGCAGCCCACACAAGACGAGCACGAAACAGCCACCCACACAAGCACGCACGCTGTGATGTGTGTCTCTGTGAAACAATATGCAGAGAGTGATCTTGGCATTCTCGTTTAGCGCACTACACTTTTTTCGAATTTGGCCCCCTTCCAGGGAACCATGATTTTACCCGCTGACACTGACGGATTTATATTCGTCAGCCGGTTAGCGCGGTCGATGGTAAAAAAAAAACACACGCGAGCACACAGCGGTCTCGATTGTTGTTCTTGTAACGTGCATTTTTTGGTCGACAGGAAAGCATGGTCGACGCTACCAAAAAACATGGAGACTTGGGCGCGAGAGAAAGAGCGGCAGAGAGAGAGAGAGAGGGAGAGAGCGGCCGAGAGAGAGAGAGAGAGAGAGAGAGAGCGAGAGAGAGAGAGAGAGAGAGAGAGAGAGAGACAGTGTGTGTGAGAGAGCGAAAGAAAGTAGCCTCGAAAAACGCTTGAATAGAGTCCCACGCAACAAAAGGCCGTCTGCGCGCCTCCAACGCGTTTGTTCCGACGGCCCGCACGTAGGGAGGGAGCGGGCGCGGAAGTCAGGACGCACCTCGGCAGGGAGAAAAGGAGCTCCTGGATGCCTTGTGCAGTGGGAATCCCCTCAAACACCTCGTTTCCTCCCGCGCGCACAAACTTTCGAGACACCTGCGTAGTGTGGGGGGGGGGGGGTTGTCGAGGGGGTGGCGAAGAGCGGGTGATCATTGTGAAATGGTCAACTCAATGGATGGCAGAACACGAACTTTGATGTTGACAAATTTTGAAAACAAACGCAGGAGCATCAGAAATGGCACACGAGAGACACAAGACCAGTCGGAAGGCATAGCGAAAAACAGAAATCGCTGATTCACGCGTCTACCTCCACATGCCACTTTTGGAATTAAGCAAAAAAATGACACCACTCTAAGTTCAAGTCAAAAGAGCCAAAATGGTAGGCGCTCAAACAAGCTCTGTGTTGCCAGGAACCTGGTGCATAGTATTACGCCACAAGAGGACATCCTTTCATCCTATAGCAGCGGGGGGTGCGTGTTGGCGCGCTCAAATCTGCTTCTGTGGTGGTGATATCGAGCGTCGTTGTAGCGACCCACAGTCTCCGAAAATCTCCGCAAATTATACCGGCACCCAGAGCGTCTTCTACTGGTTGTGCTCGCCGCCACTGACCCCAATCTCCTGAATCGCGGGTTTACAGCAGTAGCTGATGCCACTAGCTACTGCTGCCTCCGTTCAGGGGTTTACGGTCCGTGGCGGTGAGCACGGCTGTGACAAGTGTTGGATGCCGCTTGGATCCAGCGCAGATTTCGGAGTGTGTTCAGAGGCTGCCGCGACCTTCGATATTTCAGCTCCAGTAGCAAACCTGAACGTGCCAGCACGCACGACGCCTCTTGATGGTGTCCTCTACTGATATTTAGTACTAACTACTAGGTTCCTCAGGCGGGAAGGTTATTTTCTTTCTCTATGTTGGATCGATGTATGAGAAAAAGAGCCAGCGTCATCACCCCTATTCTGCCCCCCCCTCAAGAAGCGCAGAGAGAGAGACAGACAGACAGACAGAAGAGAGAGAGATGGAGAGACGTATCCCCCGAGGTAAAACGACAGGCGACAAATGAATAGGACAGAATGAACGCTACCACTGTGCGATATTTTCACAGTAGTACGCCGAGTTCCCGCTTGACTCAAGCTGCGAGGGAATACCGAGGTTAGGTACTCGGCCAATAGCACCGTACACTTGCGGGCAAACGCACAGGTGTGGGCGATCAACGATCGACTGCTCCAAAACCACGAGCCTACCAATCAGGTTTGGTTATCGCTGCCCAGCACGAGCTTGGAGAGAGAGAT